AAACAAAGATGCGTACAGACAACAAGCGATCGTCCTTTCTGGGATTCCGCCTGCCATCATTCGCGATTCAGCAACCCGTTTGTACTGCACCACCTGCAGTCACTTACTTGTCATTTAGCGTTACATTTCCTCACTCGATTATATTTTATTGCATGGATGACAGCCAGTCACCGCGTACTAAGACAACATCGCATTCAGGCAATATTGTAGTCCCATCGAAAAGTAAATATCATTTGTGTATGTATGTATGTATGTATGTATGTATGTATGTATGTATGTATGTATGTATGTATGTATGTATGTATGTATGTATGTATGTATGTATGTATGTATGTATGTATGTATGTATGTATGTATGTATGTATGTATGTATGTATGTATGTATGTATGTATGTATGTATGCATGCATGCATGCATGCATGCATGTATGATTTGTGTATGTATGTATGTATGTATGTATGTATGTATGTATGTATGTATGTATGTGAGCGTGTGTATGTGTGTGTATGTGTATGTGTGTGCGTGTGTGTTTCAAGAAATGTGCCCAATATTCTTTAAGAATTACAGAAAGGAGGTATCGGCATGCTACCTGCGGCGTTGCTTTCCTGTGGCAGAAAGCATCTTCAGATATGTACGAACATTAATTGCGGTAGTAATTATAAAACTTCACACAATTAACTTTTTAACCAGCGGTAGTAGCCGCGGTCGAGTCAAATGGTTGAATTAAAGCCCTACCTACGAATATAGTCTAAAACCACTTTGGAGTTTTGGAAAAGCGGCCACTGGTAATCACCGCGGAGCGATGCAACGAGCCTGATTTGGCTGGATAAACCGAAACCGACGCACCAAACAGAGCATCTACCATTCACTTCGACAACACCCTTAATGACGACACTGTTTCCCTCACATTAAGGGAGAAGAATAAGCGAGCGTCGATAAACGGCCTCGAAGCGAAGTGTCTTTATTGACGGTTCATAACGACGACGATAACGACGATTACCAGTGGCCGCTTTTCAAACTTCCAAAGTGGCTATGGACTATTTGTAGTGAGGGCTTCGATTCGTCCATTGGACTTGACTGGCTATCACCACTAGTTAAAAAAGTTAACTGTGTTACTTTCTATATTTACGACCGTAATTGATGTTTGTACGCATTTGAAGATATCTTCTGCCACAGGAAAGGCAACGCCGCAAGTAGCACGCACATACCCCCTTTCTGTGATTTTTAAAGAATATTGGGCACATTGTTTGAAACACACTTATACATTACGACTTTACATGCCTTATAAGTGGCTGCATATGCAGGCGAGAACATTACCACGCGATTGTCATGATCAACTGCACAAAAGTAACAATGCAAGTGAACGTTTGAAGGCGCCATCTGTAGGCACATGAGACCACAGTGCTTCTGCGTGATCAGCTTAATTACAACAGATGGTTCACGCGATGTCGTGACATGATAGATCGATGGGAACAAAAGAATAAAGAAGTTGGTGTGACAGCTAGCACAGGCATGTGCAGCAAGAAAGCGAATAATATAAATAGAAGAAAAATAACACGGAAGGCACCACAAGGCGCGAATCTTTATATAGCTTCTAAAGGGAGATACAACTGAAAGGTCAACCAAAACGAGCAGATTTGCGGACTCGATTTTGTCGCCGGGCGGAACCAATAGCTTCGAGGCACGAAGCTTCAACCACTGCTAGCTTTTACCATGGTGTAACTGTCAGTTCAAGCGCACGAATAAACAGAAAGGAAGCGAGGACAAGCGCTTGTCCTGTCTTCCTTTCTGTTTATTCGTGCGCTTGAACTGACAGTTATACCATGCATATCCAACTATAGCCCAACTTTCGATTCTGTAGCTTTTACCATACCTAAAATTCTCGTTCGAGGTTGTACAGTGTCTGTTATTATTTACGGCGTTGTTAGCTTCCAGCATGTATACTGCCCGGGTGCACGTTAAAGAACCCCAGGTGGTCAATATTTCCGGAGCCCTCCACTACGGCGTCTCTCATAATCAAGTGGTGGTTTTGGGACGTTAAACCCTACAAATCTAATCTAATCCATGTATACTGCCCGACGAGCTCAATATACTTTCGCTACATACGCACAGCGCTAATGAAAATAGTTTTTCTGTCAGGGTGGCTGTCAGTGCGTATAGTTGTGATAGTTACATCTATGTGTTAATACTATTGCTTCTCTTCGCGGCGACTAGGCTGCATTCCGGGCGAACATCACCCTTATGTTATGGAAGAACCAAATGTGAACGTATAGATGGCTCAAACGAGTATGTTTCTGGGAAATTTCAAACGTACAGGGTACGATAACGAACGTTATAGTACAGGACTGTCAATTTTAGAACACGGCGCCCCGCCGCGGTGGTCTAGTGGCTAAGGTACTCGGCTGCTGACCCGCAGGGCGCGGGTTCGAATCCCGGCTGCGGCGGCTGCATTTCCGATGGAGGCGGAAATGTTGTAGGCCCGTGTACTCAGATTTGGGTGCACGTTAAAGAACCCCAGGTGGTCTAAATTTCCGGAGCCCTCCACTACGGCGTCTCTCATAATCATATAGTGGTTTTGGGACGTTAAACCCCACAAATCAATCAATCAATCAATTTTAGAACACGGCGCTGAACATGCCCCGCAAAAAGAAAAAGAAAACGGCAGATCAGGACGCGTGCCTACTTAATAAGTAATTACACAGTTCGCGACTGGAACATCAGTATAAGGACTTCGGGGAGTCTATTTCCGATGTTTCGACGGCACAGCCGTACCTACGTAGGTACGTAGTACCTGTAAGATAAAGTCAAGTTCTGCCTACGAGTGCTTTTCACTTGACGTCAATCGAAACTTTCACTTTGGCTTTTCAATTCTTCGATGTTGACAATCATCTTCAAGCAGAAGATTACTGAAACGTCAATTAATATTTGCAGATTCGCGGGCTAGATTTTGTCACTAGGCTGGCCTGACAGCTTAGAGGTACTTTATTATTATTTTTTTAGGCGCAATGCCCTGTTGCCTGTACAACGATTGCGAAACGTTTCGTGGTGCGGATAATACAAGGAGAACGTATGAGATATATATTCGTAAGCGGCGCTTTTAACGAAGCTCATTGGAACACGGGTTCACGCTATGAAGTATCACGCTGCATACGCTTGCGCACGGTTCCCGTCGGGGGGGGGGGGGGGATGTTTGTCACAGCGCCCCCCCCCGCTCCCTATTGTGACAATGCCAATGTATGGGGCTGACTCTGCGCCTCCCCCCTCCCAGTCGCAGTGCCCCTCCCTATTATGTCAATGTAAAGGGCTCACTTTACGTCCCCCTCTTAGGGTGACTAGGGGGGGGGGGCGCCCCCCTGGCCTCTCCCCGTGCGCATCCCTATGTCATGCTGTACGTTCTGTTACAGTGCACTTCAATCTTTTCTCTTTTTTTTTTATCTCGATAGAGCACGTGGGAGGAGTCACTAAAATAAGGCTATTTTTGACAATCGAGGAAGTTTCGTGTTTTGGAATTTACTTTTTTTTCTTTATCCGTCAAAACGCTCGCGCTGCCCTCTGGTATGCGGCAAGCCTGCACGCGCCAAATTTATTAGATAAAGGGTCTTTATCAGAGGACCACTCAATAGGCGTTTCTATGCCCGTTCAACAAGACATAGAGCGCGATAACGTTTTAAAACATGTTTTTTTGTTATCTTAAATAAAGTTTATGTTCTAAATAAAGTTTATGTTCTAAATAAAGTTTATGTTCTTGTTATCTTTTGATAACGTATACGTATTAAGGCTACTGCCTCCGAAAACGGGCCGGAAACGATGGCAAATGAAGAATAACGTGCCAAGCTCCAGCCACACATCAGGTCACCTGCCAATACGAAGATGCAGCTCAGGCGCACCGTGCTAAAGCGTCCCTTTCGATATGTAAGCGATAAACTGTTAGTGCGAAAAGAGGAAGAGTGAGCTTTTTCTGTCTATTCGTAGTCGTAAGGTGGGACGGCTGTTTTCAGTAAACACACACGGGAAAGAATGTGAGCGACTGAGTCGTGCCCCTTTTCCGCCACAGCTACAACCTTTGTCGTTCATTAAAAACGTCGTTGCAGTTCACCTGTCACGAGTGCTGAAGCTTGAAAAGATTGCGAATTTTCGTAATCCATTGACATTAAGCATCAAGCTCTCGTCAGTGCTCAACAGTCATCGATTCCTTTTTTTCACTCCCTCATATCAGGAAGGTTGATCAACTGTTTTTTTAGGCGGCGAAGATATATCTACAAACGCAAGACTGGAAACGGTAATACCAATTCAATCGAGGCCCAGCTAGAATGTCACACGTGTACATTCCCGTGAAGTCGGCTATCTTCCAAACAAGTTAACACCAGTAGCAGCTCTAAATACGTGACAAGAACGGCGAAATTCTGCGGGCGCAGAAAAGTGGCTGTACTTGCCCAGTTTGCTTCCACGCCGATGTGCACGAATCCTTAGTGGAGAATCCTACTTAGTGGAGAACATTGCAGGGGTGTCCACCGTTCTGCGGCCGCTATCGGATCAGCACGAAGGCGCCTTGCACACCAGAGGCGAAATACGCGAGACTTCATAAACAGTGGAGGTGGGTATACGCGGACTCGCAGCAGGACAAAGCATTCACATTCTGGATCACACTCTGATCAACGGACATAGATCTACGGCATTGCGGGCACGCAGAGCGCCCGCAGCATACGACCCGTGCTCAGATGGTGCACCACATCGGCAACAATACGGCAAGCTAACCCGGAAAAAAGAAGCCACAGGTGCGGTCTCCCGGTCCGTATGGCCGCTAAGAACACGACAAAAAAAAAACGGTTAGCACGTGTGCGCGCTCACGCGGCCAATGGAGTATACCATCGGCAGGCGGGCAGCCAGCCGCTTACCGCAGCCGCGGTCATCAGCGCATAAGCGCAGCGTTTGCATCCTGACGGCGCGCGAGGGGTGGGAGTAGTGGGTGGTGGAAGGGCGTTCTGAGAGCAAAGACTTACGTAGCTGTCCGAGGCGACGGCGAAAAGCCGCGCGTTGTCCTTGGCTAGTGGAGCCAGGGTTGAGCCGGGAGGTCTGCTGTTTGCCGGCGGCGGGGTTTAATTTTAGGCAAGCCGCAGTTTAGGGACGACGCGACCGGCGGGTTGAGTCTGCCGCGGGGCGCCGCTCAAGCACGGCTCTGCATCGGAGGCGCCAGGTTCGAAAAAAGCCGCGGAAGACGAGTCCTGGAGAAGACCCCGAGGCGAAGAGGAATAATGAGCCAGCGCTGCAGCGGCAATACTCCTCTCGAACTTGCTGTTGCACGACGCCGCAAGGAAGAGCCCTCGCCGGTCTCGCGGTTTGTGATGTTGGCTTTACAAAGAGCAGCAGCTGGTCCGGCCTGGTACACGCATCACGACAATAGCGGCCAATCAGCTGACGCTCGCGCGGTAGGCGAGAGGGTCATCAGTTGCTTTCACTCGCTGGTTCTGGCGCCACCACTCGACGACAGAGAGAGAGAGAGATAGCGAAATTCTGGCACAGAAACGGAAATGTCCGCGAACAAACGCTGCACGCGATACCAAATGCGAGGTGAAGGGCGAAACCACACACCTGTAGAATTAAGTACACGATTTATGATTTAACATTCGATGAGAAGTAACTTATGGTATCGCAGATCTACGGTGGCCGTACGGACGGCGGGGGGTTGACGTAGATTTGCCGGCAGATGGCGACGCAAGAAGTGTCTCCTCCGATGTGGGACTGGGCGTGGGATGACTCAAGAGCTTAGTGGGAGCGTGTTCGGGATGTTTTCCCTAGGCTTTTCCTGTACGAGCGGCCGCGTAGCTCTCTCTGTCATTCCCCCAACCTATGGAAGCAGGGCGCGCGCCGGCGATGGATCGATGGCCCCAGCACCCCAGGCCCATGCGCGGTTCCATCGACCGGCGCACGACGCCGCCGGGATCGGCAGGCACCTCCTCCTCCCAGCTGCTGTTGCCCACTGCACACACACAGCCACTCTGTCGTCCACTACAGGCTGGCCGCCGACCATCTTGGATCGGAAACACCGGCAACGCATCCCGGAAAGAAGAGTCACCGCAACACAAAAGGTGAGGACCGCGTCCTGCACGTGTCGCACTCGTCAGCTCCTGAGCCGCACTTTCCCAACGTATGAGACGCGTAATATGCGAGATGGTCTCCGAGACGGCTCCGGGCGCAGACAGGGTGGTGCCAAGCATCCTTGAGCTGCGCGCCCGGAGGAGAAGAAGAGCAGGCCGGACTGCAGAGTGCGCGGCGCGCTGGCGAGTTTTTCCCGAGCGCTGACGCCGATCTAATGTCGCGATGCGACACGAAGAACGTCTCGTTGCGAGAATGCACATTGGCAGACTTTGTTCTCTCTCTACTATAAGTTGGTTAGGCTCGAACAATCCACGGTCTGCGCACACGTCGTTCGAGACAGCCGTCTCCGGTTAGACAGTATATAGCTCTCTCTTCGTTGGCGTTCCCTATTAGGGATGTGCAAGCGCAACGTGTATATGCGTGTTCCCGCTTTGCGCAAATAAAGCGAAAATGCTCAGTCTCTGCGCACCATCAGATTACGGACAAGATATTTCGCTCGCTACGCTGAGGACTTGCACGAACCTTTTCAGGTATAGGTATGCGCTTTTACTGCGTAGACTTACATAACAAGACGCACTGGCTGGTACGTCAGAGTGTTTATACGCGGCGTTTGTAGTGTCTCAACTTATATGTTATGTCCGCATTTGCATGCCCTGTGTTCGTAACATCAGAGTGCACATCTCCTGAAATTCCGAAGCTTGCGCAAGCACAAACAGCCATTCCTGCGAGTAACTGCGAGTATCATTCATTATTTTGCTTTTATAGGGACGCTGTGGCAGCGCGAACTCGAGAGCGCTGGCATGGTAGTCCGTAGCTGTCCACTAAGTGGACTGCCGCTTTTGGCCCGCTCCGATTGGCGAAATGTTGAGAGCGAGCAAGTCGGTACCCATTGTGAACCCCGGCTTTGATCTCTTTCCAATGATTTATAGAATACACCCTGAACAGAAAGTACCAAATATAATACCACCCTCAACAGCCAGCGGCGTTAACTGGATGGGCCGCTATAAAACTGAACAGTCGGGACTTGTCCGGGAGAAACCGCTGAGAAAGCACTATACTGCGCCGGAAAGTGCGCAGCGTAAATGGCCGGGCGATATCACGCAGTGCATAGTGCAAGCACGCTTAGCGTAGACTAGATGTTGACTAACAAGCACGCTGGGTGTCTTCAATAGGACTATAGAGGCCCGTCTAGAATTCCCTTCAAAGAGTATGCACGTTAACAATGTACCTTGAAAGCACGATAAAGAGAAAAACGTCATAAAAAACATGCTTGTTTCGGGAAGACGCTTGGTAAACGGGCAAACATGCAAGCGGATAATACGTGTCGCGACGCCTCTTTCAAGTTCTCGCACCGATCGCCGTGACGCCATAGGTTTTGAGAGCGTCTGCTAGGTACTACGTAGTTACAAATCGGCAAATATGAACGACGCTGTCTTCCGAGAGCCTAGCGACGTAGCATAACAAGTTTCATACAGGTTTGTTCAGCCTACTCGTAGATACGAAGAAACACTTCGAAATCTGAGACATCTCCATTAGAGGTTCTGGCCGGAAACTAGCAAGTGAAGCTTTACACGCTTATTATTCGGTATATTAATAAATTTATGGTGGTGAAAATACCGACCCTAGAGTTATCAGAGTAAAATTTATTACTCTAAACTAATTTATTGCTTCGTTTCAGTGTGTCTTTAATTGTGACAGTGAGTTCGTATGCTGGTTCATTTCATCTGTTCGCTTTCTCCCTCTCTCCTCGTGCCTCTCTGTGTGTGCTTTATTATGCCTATAGCGGTACACCAGCGAAGATTTAACAATCCGTTTAGCTTGAACAGGCTGTCTTTCTCTCTGTTTGTGTGGCTTGTCATATAGGACACGTAGTGAAACAGTCTTGGAAAACTGACAGCAGGTGATGCCAAAAAAGTTCTGCTGCATACAAACTTGCGCAGCCTTCCTTACTATGGCTTCAAGCAAGCTATACAAACTTGCGCAGCCTTCCTTACTATGGCTTCAGGCAAGCAGCGAGAACAGGTAGATAGATAGATATGTTGGGTTTGAACAAAATGTCAACTCACTTTGCCCTTTGAGAGAAACCCTTTCCCGTATCTCATGTACGGGTCATTTCCGACGGAGGTCTCGCGTCACGGTTAGAGAAACACATCGATACTGATATTCAAGACGACTAAAATCGGGACGTCTATTCTAAACTACAGAGTTGTTGTTCGACGCCGTTGTTTCGACATATGGTGACCGCATGGGAACAAACACAGACGTGTGTGGGCCAGCAAAAGGTCCGCGGGTCGCTTGCTTCAGAGTCCGACAGGCGAACCAAGTGAAGCGACGTATTGGGCTAGTTGGTCTCGCACGATTAAAACGCTGCGCAGTAACCGTGGTTCAGTATTTTAACAAAGGCGAACCAAGTTCTCGACATAGGCTACATGTCAGTATACAGTGGGCCGACCTGTCACTGCCTTTATAGTCACTGAATGTCGTGAGATGAGGCAGAAACAAATAAAAATCGACCTTCGTCACTTGCACCACCAGCAATCGACGCGTCTCACGTAGAATTGCCGCATGCAAATTTGATACTGCGCAGACGGTACGAAAGTCGCTGACAGCGTTTCCTCTACAGCACACAGTGTTTCACCATGCTTGCTGACGTCAATGGTGACGTTGCACATGGCGTCAGCGTAGACACACTTCTACCAAGAAGTGCCGACAAACGGACAAGCTTTTGTCGGCGAGTTTCTGAATGGATATATACTATATGATAGTTATCTTGTCCCGTTATAATAATCTTACATGCAACATCTACGACTCTATCGTCTGCGCATAACTGCTGTGAAAAATCATTTGTGATAACGGTTTGATTTCCGCTGCTTTTTCGAAAGGCTGCTCCCATCCACCTTCTTTTCGTTCATCCTCACTCTGGTGCCCCGCCGTGGTGGTCTAGTGGCTAAGGTACTCGGCTGCTGACCCGCAGGTCGCGGGTTCGATTCCCGGCTGCGGCGGCTGCATTTCCGATGGAGGCGGAAATGTTGTAGGCCCGTGTACTCAGATTTGGGTGCACGTTGAAGAACCCCAGGTGGTCAAAATTTCCGGAGCCCTCCACTACGGCGTCTCTGATAATTATATGGTGGTTTTGGGACGTTAAACCCCACATACCTATCCTCACTCTGGTGGCTGCAGGACTTGTATAACACTGTGCAGCTTTAGTTCAGGAGAAGCTTCATAGCTGCTGTTACAGTAAACGGTTTTTAATGAGTCGCTTAACTGCGTCCTCTTTCTCTCTCCTAAAGCATGACGGCGAGTAGACGGGCAGTATGCAGCTTGATGCTGCTGCTGCTGGCCACGGCACAAGCCGCGCCCGGCCGCAGCCCGATGCCCGGCAGCGTGTTCATCGCCAACCCGACTAGCGGCACGCCGCTGTCGACCAGCGCGGCCGGCGTCGACTGCGCCGACCCGTCTCTGCCCCGATGGAGGAACCAGCCCAAGACGCACCGACTCGTCCTCTCGACAGCCAACGTACGTGGCCCACACCGTCGTAGGTAGTGTGCATGATTAGGTTAGACTGGAGTTTAGATAGATAGATAGATAGATAGATAGATAGATAGATAGATAGATAGATAGATAGATAGATAGATAGATAGATAGATAGATAGATAGATAGATAGATAGATAGATAGATAGATATGAAATCAGCGATTTCAACTAGAACAGCATCTGCGATCACAGTGCAGGGGAAAATAGAGAGGGCAATGTGTAGGCGAATTGGTGATGCATGACCATGGCTTACAGCGCACAAAAACAATGACAACGGTAGCATGAAAACTACAGAAAGTAAAGAATTGAGATAAAGTACCGGTTATGCAAGCACAGCAAGGAGTCTCACAACACAACACACATTCCCACGGGCCGTCCACCGCGGTGGAGCAGGGGTTGTGGTGCTCTCGTCTGCTAACCAGAAAGGCGCTGGTGCGATCCCGGTTGCGGCGGCCGCATTTCCATGGTATATATATATATATATATATATATATATATATGAGATCTAACAGACAGTAATGCCAAGGAATGTACAGGGGAAGTTAAAGTTATTAGAACCATTGGAATGTAAATAAGAAGAAAGAAAAGTGGATGAAGGCATAACCAGCCGTGAGCAGGAATCTAACCTACGACCTTCGAATGACGCGTTCAATGCTCTAACCACTGAGCTATCACAGTGGCCTTCCTTCCATCCACTACATATATATATATATATATATATAATATATATATATAAACGATATCTGAATGCCAGGACATAAAGGACATCCACAAAAAAAACGGCGCGCGATTACATAAACAAATAGAGCAAATGATAGAGGCAAAAGCGATTGAAAAGCCGTCCACAATGTTACATAAATGGTGCCCCCAGAGCACACACAAAAGATGCGGCGTTAGCTTTGGCAAATGAGGGAAGGGGTAACCTAGACCTCTCCTCCCCCTCCTCCTGGTCGGAAACCCATTTACCGGCTGCACCCATCGTCTAGTGGAGCGGCACAACACGTGTTTTTACCGGCTGAATGCATTACTTGCAATGCACTGCTTGAATAAAACATCCGTTAAAAAACGAAGCAAAAAAGAACACCTTGAAACGTTTATGTGGACAAAAATTCATTTTCTGGACAGCCTTCGAAACACAGCTACTCGGGCTGTATGCCCGTAACCGCCAAAATCGAACACCCACCCCTTTATGGTGTCGACATCTTCATCACTTGCTTCAGTAAAATGACAGGGCTACTCATCTGTACGAAAGGCAATAAGAGATAGCAAAATCGTACATGTTTAGAAGAACCAAGCGTTGGGCGAGATGTATACTCCATCGTGGATGGCATTTTGCGCAAAAAAATATATATATAGTAAAAACATTGGCCCCGTATCAGCATGTTCATCTGCAAATGTCGTCGAAAGACGATAGTCTTGCGTGTGGAGAGAAAGAACAAAACATTTATTTGATGTTCTGCGCAAGAAAATCGGTGAATGGTATTCTGGAGGCGCTCGAGCGTGCAGCGGAGGCGAGCGAGCGCACCAAGTCACGTCACACGGGAGACATGAGCGCTATATCTGGCAGTTATCTTGGAAAACAAAACGCGTGTATCTGAGACGAGCGTGCGTGCCCGTCTCAGAGGTGATAAGGTGTAGGACGCAAAGCGACGGGCAGGTGCCACCACCGTGTCGCCTCAGCAAAGCGTTGGAAACACTCGCCTTTTCGTGAAAGCGTTGCATGGTGAGCGCAGCGTGATAAACGCTACGGTCCTTAGAATTACTCGTGTATGCGTTTCTTAGTAAAATACGCACATACAGAATATATACGTGTCGTTATGGCACCTCAGATATGCGTAATACTTGCTTTTTTTTTAATTGACAATCGTACCAGTATGAACGCTGAAGCTTGAGCCACATTGGTTGGCGCTGCGGATGGGGTTGGCTGTTTGGGGCAGCGTCTGGTGCAATTTAGCTTACGCAGTACCATAAGGGTAGACAAGGAGACAGACAGACCAAAAATTTTGCATCGGAGGTCCCCAAGAAAGAGTATCGTCTTTAACTATCGCCTTAAAAAGAACGGACAAGAAGGGAGCACGTCTGTCTGCTGCGCCTGTCTTATTGTCCTTATTGTCCGTTTTTTTTTTTTGCGCGAAATGCCATCCCCAACAGTACGCGTCTAATCCTTTCCCTATCTGCTTGTCTTCTCGTGCGAATTGAGCTTTATCGGAACGTAACACAATGCATGGGTGCCCGCAAGGGGTGGAGGGAGGGGAAGAGGTCGGGTATGGCGGCTGCCTTCATAATTATCTAAAGGGGGTATCGATTCCACCCCAGACCTTTGCTCAGTCAGACACGTCGTTTTTCTTTTATATATATGTGCAGGGTTGACTACCCATATTATTTTTTTTACGATAATGGTAACCAAGAGCATCTGATGTTGTATTCAGAGAACTGTTTAGCCAGGTACTGATGGAAGGCCTTCGCGAAAAGAATGTCATCACTTCATTTTTTTTTTTTTGCATCCTATGCGGAGCTTTTTTTTTTTGTCTTACGGACACGAAGAACGGAGAAGGGGAAGCATTGCGGTTAACTTTGTCCCCCCCCCTACCCCAATGAAGAACCCCACGCACGCCTATGACACACTACGCAATAACATATCCTGTCTGTCCTTATTTTTGTTTGTGCGCTGTTTCGCGCCTGTTCTCTGCGTGCTGCAACGGCAGCGTTCTTATCAGTCGCATCTTTGGATGCCAGCTCGCAGGGCGTCTGCAGAGAGTTCGTTACACACCGCGGGGACGGCTCGCGACATTCCGTATGCGAAGCAAACATGCGCGCCATTCAGCCAAAGCTGCTCGGATGGTTGGTAGATAGAAAAAAACAAAAGAATATGGAAGCCAGGTAAATTCCATCGCATCGGCGTTCACGTCAAGAGTTGGGTAAATGTCTCTTCTAAATATAGATTACTGGCTGATGTTCAGGCTTCGCGCAAGCATCGCATTTTCGGGGATTCTTTCCCCTTTCTCTACGTGCAACCAGTACCTGCAGCCCACGGTGGTAGAGAGCGAGAGATTCGTTTCTTCGCGAAATGGCCGCGCAGGTGCAGCTGACGTCGAGCAGAATGCGAAGTTAATAAAGTTTGTATTTATGCGTGTCATTTCCACGAGTTTCCAAAAGAAGGCGATCGAGGCGATCAGTGTAATTTTCACGACGCACCGGCGTAACAACGTGGCATTCAGAATTCGCCTTATAATAAGATACCGTTGCTGACCATGTTATCCATCAACAGGAAACACGCTGTGAGATGGCTTTTCTTCTTTTACGAATAGCACGGCATGGAAACTTAACGGTACGTCACGGGACCTTCACCAGAGGGCGCCGTTGAAAGAGGGTTTGTCCACCAGTTTATAAAAAGCGGACTCGAGAAAGCGTACTGTGTCAAACATGGGAGGATTTCTGTCAGCATGGACGTCAGCAGGGTGGTAGAGGTTCATGTGGAAAAGGAAGAAGGCACCTAATTTCTGTCTGCCTACAGGCGACACGGCGCAGTGCCTGACGTCAGCAGGGGAGGCGGGAACGCGAAGTTGCACCTTCGTTCTTCCTCCTCACCCCTTCCCCTCTCCCCGGTCGTCTTTAATTGATCGAGTGCAAACTAAATCAATAGTCACAATGGATGCATATATGAATGTGAAGCGACGACTTTCGGTATTTACTCGATTGTAACGCGAGGGGTGGCTTTTTATTACGTTAATGAAGAAAAAGAAATAAAATGTCGGTATTCGATCGTAACGCGAGGGTCCACTTTACGTAGCACCCCCCCCCCCCCCCAAAAAAAAAAAAGAACTTGCGTTACATTCGAGCAAATACGGTACTTCCATCAACAGACAGTCTTTGGTCCACGGGTTACCCGGGGCTCGTCCTCGTCTTTTGTGTTATATTGTTGTCGGAAGTTTTTGCGCATAGAAGTTCCAGAATGGATTGCCAACTAGCCCAATCCCACACTTTATTTCCAGGGGCGAAGGTGGCGAGTAAACCGTTCTAGAAATGCAACAACATCAAGTGTTCTCGGCCGCAATTTTCGTCGAAAAATTGCATGTCAGAATCCTGCATCTTAAACAGTGACGCTGACGCTAAGTAAATTTCCCACCGAGTGAAGACATGGGGCAGATATAGCACTCCATCCAAATGATTAGAAGAGGGGATGGGTGTGCTGCCCCCCTTGTGTGCCCGGCTATGCCGGTCAGTAACAAACTGACGTTAGGTCCTTTCAGTAATGCCCAAGTATGACAGCACTCATCAAGACACGGGCAGGCTGGCTTTCAGAATCACCGATGACAATATAGTTCACTTTTTAACCATTCAATGCATCCGCAAGAGACAGAGAGGGTAAGAGAAAAAAAAAGGTTAGCCAGAGGAAATATTTAGTTCCCCTTTCGCAAGACAGGGACATGAATAATAATAATAATAATAATAATATTAATAATAATAATAATAATAATAATAATAATAATAATAATAATAATAATAATAATAATAATATAATAATAATAATAATAATAATAATAATAATATAATAATAATAATAATAATAATAATAATAATAATAATAATAGTTGTTGTTGTTGTTGTTGTTGTTGTTGGGGCTTAACGTCCCAAAAGCACACGATATGATTATGAGAGACGCCGTGATGAAAGGCTCCGTAAATTTCGACCCCCTAACTTCCACTGACATCGCACCATGCGCAGGACTCTACCATTTTGCCTCCACCTAAATTCGACCATCGTGACCGAAATCCAACCCACGCCCTTCAGCTTGGCCCTCGTGCTCCATTATTACTAGACAAAGTGGCGGTGTCGGCAAAAGAGATGAAAGAATGAAAGAGGGGAAGAGGCTGAGAAAGCAACGTGGGATTCGCGACATCACCATTAGCAAGGCCGACGGCAAGATATCAGCTTTCTGTGATCGTGCAGTTTATTACACAGCGGTGTGGAAACGCCTCTTTGCGACGAAAATAAATAAATAAATGAATATTTACATATTTACTCCGATCAACGACGCCGCGTCTTTTTCTGAGTGTTTCGGTTTTCCAGGACAAAACTGAAGAATAGTAAACATGACCAAGCTTCTACTGCGCATGCCTGCACTATCTCTCGTAGATGTCTCCAGTAGAGCAGCTGCTTAGACATTCGTCTAGGAACCATTTTGTGGTTATAAGGTCGTCGAGAAAGGTGCGCGAATTGGCACCCGCCAGAGCTTGCAACAGGAACGACAAAAGATCAAACCCAGCGCCACTATTACTCGTGTCGCGATGACACCGAGTAGTTGATGCACAATCTGCATGTATGTACATATCTTCACTTATGTTCTGCAGGTGGCCTGCAGTCCCGACACGGAAGCCAACAGGACCCAAGAGGACACACCGCGCACTACTCTCTCCTTGAGCATCCAGAGCACGGACGACGTTCAGTGAGTGTGCAGTTTCCTCACAGCGAACCTATCTTTTGACCGCATTTGACAAGCAGATCCGAAACTATACAACAGACTTCCGACTGGTTCGAAAACTTAAACGAGAAATGATGTGACGGAATCATAAGCAAGAATATTCGCGCATTAGCCCTTCGTAATGGATAGGACAGAAGTGTGGCAGTTCGGGCTAGTTGGTATGACATGACGGTAGTTACAGCACGAGAACAGAACGACGACAAAGAGACAAGAAGGACAGGAGCGCTCGTGTCCTTCTTGTCTCTTTGTCGTCGTTCTGTTCTCGCGCTACAACTATCGTCATGGGACAGACGGGGGAGTTACGATTTGATGACACTCCCTGATGATGGTTTGCGAGCGCAGACAGTTTTGTTCCAATAAAGAAGCAATGACCTCCACGATCTTCCTCGGCCGGCTTTCGCGTTCGTGCAAATCATCGCAAGAAAATTTCTGAATCGCACAAAAGGAGACTGAACTTAAACTGAAACACTGGCGCTCACACAAAGCACAGTGACCAAATTTTAGTTCGAAAGCGCTTATCGTGATGACTGGCTGTAGAGCTTAGGGTCAATCAGTATCAGTTCCAAATGGTGTTCGGAGTTTTGCCTGCGTTCTAAGAATCTACATCGCCATGCTCTTAAACACTTTTTTTTAATAGCTTTGTACAATCAATTGTGCTGTATAGATCAGGAACAATCTTTCACATCAACGGCAAGGGCTAGCACGGTCTTTTCGTCCGGAAAGGGATGCTGAATCAGCCACACTAACGTTCCCGGTGGTTTCGATTCACTTGACAGATTGTGTGCACGCATTACGCACCGCTTGAAAGTCACGATGTGCGAAAAGTCGACCTCTGCGCGCAGGCTGAACCTGTCCGAAGAGTGGCTTCCGGTGAGCGGTAACACCACCGATCCGCGACTGGCGCTGCAGTCGCTGCAGGGCGGTTACGGTCAGCAACCATGCCGCCGAGACGAGGCACTGCTGCTATGGGAGAAACCCTACCACGCACCGGGGCTGACCATCTCGCCGGAGATACTCACGCCGGGAAGCCACGCACTCGGCGGTACGTGTCGACCGCTGCGTGACCTGCACGTGAAAACTGGCCACACATTCCGTGACAACCCAAGAATTCTCTGTATAAAAGCTCCACTCACAAAACCGCGTTTAACTCGCCTGTCACCAGTGTAAGAGTACCCTGCCATCTAAGCACCTTTTCAAGCTCAAGTTTTATTGCTCAGCTAACATTACTATATATCTGCTCGAAGAAAAAAAAATTAAGTTCACTGTTTTTAGACCTTTGGGTGAACAACAATGTGAAAAAAAATCTATAAAATTCGTCAAGACGTTCAAGTTTCACTCCTAGAAGAACCGAATTAATCGAACCGACAATTCGGTCGGAGATAGTACAGAGGACGTAAATTGTTGTCTTCAACTGTAGTGTATACTAATTTTGTGATGCGAATTGAAATGAATTGGAAAGGACGAACACTGACCCTTTACGTCAGTGAGTCCTGAACCAACAAACTTCGATATTAGTTTTAATTTCAAAGGTTGTGGGTTCAGATCCTACCGACATACAAAAGCGCTTGACGACACGGAAATGAGCGAGCGTAATTGGCCGGAGCATGTGTACACGTTCGTTTTGAATTTGAGGTAGGCGCCTTTGTCAGTGTAATCAGTTATTACTAACTATGCGGATCCTATTATCTATGCTCCTGTAGTCGCCGACAGTGCATCGGGTTGTGCGTACCATGAGGAGCAGGTCAGACAGCAAGAACACAAGGCAGAACACATACCTTGTCAATGACTCCAATGATTTAAAATTGAGTTATCATACACATATCGTGCACAAAAGAGGCCCGTCATTGAAAATTTTAAAAATGAAAATTCACATAGAAGCATTTGATCGTAAAAAGGCAGCACTACACTTTATTTTATTTTTATTTTCTCGGAGCTTATATAGTCAGTTCGTATGCCACATTTTGCTCCGCAATGTTCCGCACAGTCTGCACTTTCCGCCATTCTCTCCATTTATAGCGATTCTGCTATACTTGGAATCGAGATCGTCTGTTTCCAAGGGCGGTAAGCTGTTCTTTTATGCAGGCCGAAATTACAGTCCTTCGGATACGGCGTGGATCACTCCGCAACGGAAAGTCAAAATTTAAAACTTTATACGGTTTCACTGTTTCGTGTAGTTTCTCAGTGATGTCTTACCGAAATGACGGGCAGACGCCGAGCATGATAACGGTGACGTAGTTGCCTCATGGATACTTCTAACGGTGTTATGGAATTTTATGTCAACGCGAATTTAACTTCAGTAAGGCTTACTGTGACAGGCGCACGAGCTTAACCATCGGATAGGTCATAAGCACTATACGTCATCGCGACGCCGTCTCCTCCACAGAGCGAATTCGGAAGTTTCCGCTAGCGGGCATATAGGAATACATACGGTCCAAACAAAGAAAACGGGGTGAGGCCGCTCTGGCAGCTGTACGCACAGCAGTCTATATATACGTCGCCCTCCATATGCACTGGGCGCGGGTACTTTTGAATTAGTAACGCGGGTCGCGACGTGCGTTGGCTTTCCCGTTGATTGCATCGATCGACCTCGAGGCATTCGGCCTAGCTAGCGCTGTTATTACAGTATAAGTACAGACTTGTTTCCGCCAAACGCAAACTCCAGGTAATGAGGTCTGCGGTGGTTAAAGGACGCGTTAGGTTGTGGTTTCGCTAAGGGCATTGGCGGAACTAACTTTAGCGAGTTTCTGCGACGGGAAAAGTGTACGCGCGCAGTCAGAGATATTAGATACGGAGGAGTATAAAAGGTCCTTTCCACCCAAAAAATGCACAAAATGAGCCGGATGAGGGGGTGTAATTTAGCAACTCTAGTCACAGACCTGGAGGCAGTTCGTTTGCTGCCCTATAGGTCGTTGTGGACTGTGCCTGAATGAGCCGTGCGTATTGATATGCTATCCCATTCCGACGATAGCAATCGAAGATTTACAGTATGTAACTGCGTTTTTAGTCCAGTCAGTCCAGCGTCCAGACATTATAATAAAACAGTGCATGAATCACGGTGTTTCGATAATCAATTCAGATAATATAATCACCCCTTCATCATATTTTCGTCGAAAGCCAGTCGAGCAAGCCGCAAATAGTACCCCATACCAAGGGTGCATGGCACAACGAAAGTGGCACCTCTTCGCATAGGTCCTGGTTATAGCCGACATCACATATTACGACGACTTCTTGGATAACATAAAACCGAATCAATCTAATGATCGCTCAACCCATCACCTTTTTTTTTTTTTCATGAGAGGGCCAGAAAAGGGGGAACTTGTCAGTTAATTTGTTGGACATCCACGTATTATAGGGAACAGCTCAAAAGACGAGGTGCAATGCTTTGAGGAATATTCATATGACACCCGGCCTTGTTTTTTTTATTGCTAGCGACGATGAACCGATACGTATGGATATACTTACCTTCCTCGCCACATTAAGGTTCACTTGCATTCAGGTGAATTCACTTTGCAATCAGGTGGATTTTCATGCCAGTGTGGCATTTTTTTTTGGGGGGGGGGGGGGGGGGAGCGTTTGTCACAACGTTACTAGATTACTAGTAACGTTGGTTTTTCGTGCAGTTTCCCCCAACTTCAAAAGCTAACTGCCGAAATTTTTTTAAATGCAAAGCATTTCTTAGCGAACTTCGGCGATTTTGAGCGTGCGTATCTATCTATCTATCTATCTATCTATCTATCTATCTATCTATCTATCTATCTATCTATCTATCTATCTATCTATCTATCTATCTATCTATCGCACAGTACAGGTTCCTCCATGGAGCGTTCCGCCACTATCTAAATAAGACCGCCGCGGCCGGAATTGAACCCGCGACCTTCCGGTTAGCAGCCGAGCACCATATATATCCCCTGCCCCACCGCGGTGGACGGCCCGTGGGAATGTGTTTGTGTTGTGAGACTCCTTGCTCTGCTTGCATAACCGGTACTTTATCTCAATTCTTTAGTTTCTGTAGTTTTAATGCTACCGAGTCATTGTTTTTGTGCGCTGTAAGCCATGATCATGCGTCACCAATTCGCCTAAACAATCGCCCTCTCTATTTTCCCCTGCACCGTGATCGCAGATGCTGTTCTAGTTGACATAGCTAATTTCATATCTATCTATCTATCTATCTATCTATCTATCTATCTATCTATCTATCTATCTATCTATCTATCTATCTATCTATCTATCTATCTATCTATCTATCTATCTATCTATCTATCTATCTATACGACTTTTAGCTCTCCCGGCCGTTTCGATAATGGTATCGGTACCAAACTTGGTATGGGATAACATGGCTGTATGAAGAACATATTTGACTTGTCATAACATGAAAATCATGACATGTATGTCATGAATGTCATTAATTACATTTCCTGGTGTTTCAGCTCTTGCGGTGGTTTTGTTCACATGGCATGTTGAAAAAGTTGTATGGTATGACATGATTGCATGGCGAACACAAGCGACAGACCCTAACATGAAAATCATGATATGCGTGTCATGTAACATCATGACTACATGCTACGCTCATGATGCGCTCGCGGCCATTTCGCTAGCTTCACATGTACCAAACTCGGTATTATACGACGCGCACGGACGACAAAGGTAAATGACACATCCAAACATGATAATGACGACGCGCATGTCGTGTAACAACATGAATTGAATACATGCCACAATCATGATGCGCTCACGGCCGTTTCGCTAGCTTCACATATGCCAAATTTGGTATTACGTAACGTCAATTGATGACGAAGGTATGTGACTGGGGCAAACATGATTATCATTAGATGTGTATCATGTGACAACATGACTACATGCCACAGTCATGGCGCCAATACATTTCGTCTTGTCGCGGTGCACGCGTTCGCCGGCGTTCATTTCGTCACGTCATGGCGGCGTTGCCACGGCAGGCGCCGGTCCTGCCATATACTCGGAGGCGCGCGCCGCGCTGCGTTGCTTTGACGCATGCGCGTTTCAGCGCTTCCAGCGCTCCTCCATCTCGAAAAGAGGGAGACGCTGTGTTGTCTGGGTAACGCATCGGCGCGAAATCGCGCCGGTTGCCGTCGGGCTGCGTCGACGGACGAAGGTCGTCCCGGTCGCGCCTGGCGTCGGACTATAGGCTGTTCGCGTTTTGCTAACGCAGCATCGCTGTGCCCAGTGTGCGCGCGCGTCAACGTTACATTGTAGTATATTGGGCCTTTCATGATGCACTCGCGGCCGTTTTGCTAGCTCCGAATATACCAAATTTGGTGTTGCGTGACGTCAACGGATGACGAAATACATGACTGGTGCAAACATGATAGTCCTGACACGCGTGTCATGTAAGAACATGACAACATGCCAAGCTCGTAGCGTGCTCGCGGCTGTTTGGCTATATATTTTCACATATACTAAATTTGATGTCACGTGACGTGATTAGATGACGAAGGTAAACGAGACATCCAAACACGATAATCATGGCACGGAAGTCATTACGGCATCATTTACCTCCACCGCATAACGTTCTGCTGACTTTAAAGTGACATATAAACCTTCCTCATTCGTGCTTCGCGCATCATCGATTCCCTCTGTACGTGATATCTGCCATTTCTTTTCTTCTTCTCTACGACGCCGGTGCAGTACACCTTTGGGGATCCGCGTGGCTGCTGAACGTGAGCGTGGCGGGCCACGAGTGCTCGCGGACCGCCGAAGAGGCGGCCACGGCGAGTCTGGAGGCCCCCTGCTCGGCGGGGGGCGGCACGTGCGTGCTCGAGCCGGGAGCCGCGGCGTACGCCTGCCGCTGCTGCCCCGGCCTGTCCGGTCGCTTCTGCGAGGAGCGCGACGGCTGCTTCCACAAGCCGTGCCTCAACCAGGGCTTCTGCGTCGACATCGCCGAGGGACTGTCGGGGTCGCTCTTCCAGTGCCTCTGTCCTCATGGTACGTCCGCTCAGTAACAAACTCGCGGCAATGTCTGTGATGTCGCAGATGAAATATGCACACGTCAGGTCAAAATTCAGCACCGGTTTCCTCTTTTTTTTTCCTGCTGTATCGAATCCGCGGCCATTTCGATAAGTACTATTTCCGATGGAGGCGGAAATGATGTACGCCCGTGTGCTCAGATTTGGGCGCACGTTAAAGAACCCCAGGTGGTCGAAATTTCCGGAGCCCTTTCACTACGCCGTCTCTCGTAATCATATGGTGGTTTTGGGACGTTAAGCCCCGCATATCAATCAATCGATGAGTATTGTGCGACCGACAAGAGGCACGTTCTGCGCATATCTATGGTCTTTTGTTATTGTTGTTGTTTTTACAGCGAAACTGTCTTGCGCCACTGCCATCGTCGCAGTAGTAGCGTTCACGCAGGTCATGGCCACAGGGGGTGAAACGAATAAAGAAATAAGCGAGACGAAATTAATTTCGAGATGATGCTGATATTTTAGCGAAACCCATCGTTATCGTCGTCATTACACTTTCGCTCTCCGATGGTTTTCATGGAAGGGAATTGGCTGAAACTTATCCCCCCCCCCTTTTTTTTTCCCCTGCAAGGCTTTTTTAAATGTACCGCAGTTTAGTGCATATATCTTACTGAAGCCTCACAAGAAACATGGTATCTGATGATCGATATGACTTATATGTGTGGTTTACCGTCTCAAAACCACCCTCTCATTGTGGGAGACGCCGTAGTGAAGGGCTCCTAAAATTTCGACCACATGGAGATCTTTAACGTGCACCCTAATCTGAGCACGCGGGTTTACAGCATTTTCGCCTCCCTCGAAAATGCAGTCGTCGCTGCCGGGATTCGATCCCGCGACCTGCGGGTCCGTAAGCTTGCTATCCCGTGAAAATTATATCATCCTTCCAAAGCCGCAAACCACAGACTAACTGCAGACAACATGTTATCAGCGGTATTCGCATGAAATCAACACACATATACGTGTTGATTTCGTGCGAAAGTTGAAATGCACTCTGGCCGCATCGGCGCCTGCAGACGCGGCTAGAGCGCATTTCAAAAACTTTCATACCCTGGGAAGTGATAGCGTATTCACCTCAAACCGAATTTCTCTCACTGTATGAACACGGAATAATGGAGACATCGGGACTACCACTCTTTTTAGGCAGCGAAGCTTCTTAAGGCGTGGGCTGTGCGTCCCCTGTACGTAGCCACCTCTCGCTTAGTTCTTGCAGTGTTCACTAGATGGCGGTACTTGTAGCTGATGATGAAAAGATGCGAGATGTTATAAAATAGACGGTGGTACTTGTAGTTGATGGCGAACGATGCGAGATGTTGTAAAATATGAATGATGTCACATATGGCGCGTGTCATTGGTGGAAGGCAATCGTTCGATTTAGTGCGGCGACGTACGCCAGGGGGAGCGTTGCAATAAAATCGAGTGGGCAAAATGTACGGAGGATTCATGGTTTACCAGGTTTACCTCCGGAGCTTCGTCCACTCGTCATCATTCACTTCGTGTATCCGCCCACTCATCATCATCATGCACTTCGTGGATATGGCGGCACTTTTTTTATCTTACTACAAGACAATGTGAACGCGCAGCCGGTGTGAGGCACTTACGGTGACCACAGTCTACATTAATCTTGCAGGCTTCCGCGGCAGGCGCTGCGAAGAACCGCTAAGTGCGTGCGAGCTTCACCCTTGCCCGCAGGGCACCCACTGCGTGCAGACACCTGACGAGGCCACTAACCGCAGCTGCGTAGCAGGTACGTGGCATGCTGGATCGAGCAATGTGTCATTCGGAGCTCGATTTTCTCCAATTTGTTTGCAAAATAGTCGCGTTTTGGCGTCACTTCTGTGGTTATAAAAGGGAAAAGAAGCGAAAAGTGAGCCCCGTAACTGTCTGCATCTGGTGCGACACCCCAACAGTAGCTCACAAGTGATGGTGGTAAGGAGGGAGTAAAAGGATAGGATTAAAGGTAGAGAGAGAGAGAGAGAGAGAGAGAGAGAGAGAGAGAGAGAGAGAGAGAGAGAGAGAGAGAGAGAGAGAGATGCGCAGGCACAGCGAGCGACGACGGAAGTAAAGAGAAGATAGGAAAGATAAAACACGGTCACAAGAGTCCGAGGACGGGGCACCATTGGCGAGAGCTCTTGTCGGCAACAGGAGATGGCGTATAGGGTTAATCCAGTCGTCGGCCAGAGTTACGCTGTCGTCGTCGTCGGGGACCGGCGTCAGGAGGTGGCGTAGGACCAACCCAGTCGGCCAGAACTGCACTCTCGTCGGAGATCGCGAAGGCACAACCGGTCGGCACGGAATCCAGCGAGCGAGTCCCAAGGCATACCGTTGATTTCAAACAGCACGCACGCGAGACGAGCGTCGAATGCTTGCACACACCTTTGTATACGGTAGGGTGCGGGTAAAATGAGACGCGGGGCAAAACGCGACATTTCGACGTTGCCGACTTCTGTATAGCAAATTCAAAAAGTACTTTTCTTTGCTTCTCTATGCTTCAGCGATAAATTCCGGCAGCTGTCCGCCTTTTTATGTCTAAACGGTTGGCATTACTCACAGCGCTCGCGTAGGAAAAATTACGCGGCTGGTGTCGGTGTGTTCGTGACTGCCAAAAAGGGGGACGAAATCCTGCTCGGCCAAAATTGCGGATCGGTGCGTGAAGCTGCTCCGACGTCAGTATAACAACTTACGTATTTATTTTGTTACTTTATATTTTTAGCTACATGCTACCAAAAGTTTGGCTCAGTTGGTGCACTGTGCCAAAGCGGTTTTTTTTTTAAATTCGGGCATGTGGGAGGGGCAAAACGCGATAAAAAGGCATCGATATACCTATCAAGTGAACCATTTACTCATACTAATGATATATTTTTTGTTTAGGAGGCTTAGGAGTTACAAGAAAATATTATATAGAGCTGCATGGGTTGAAAACGACATATAAGAACACTGACTGCTGTTGAGGACATGACTCACTCCATGCGCGCTATATTGAGGTTGTTCCGCGTTCCAAAGGATGCTCTCAATATGCGCATGAAAAAAATTGAAGGAATCTCCGGTGCAGTTCTGCATCAAAACGGCAAAAATAGGCGAAGTAGATGCGTCAAAACATATCTATAGCTTCCAATCATTGAATAATCTAAGGAAGTGCAAGCACTCAACAAAAGACACCATTGACACAAAGAAGGACTGGGGTTGCTGGATCTGCTAGGAGTTCTGGAGCAACGCAGCGCCGGGTTCTGTCTGCATTCATTGCGTGGAGTGCAAGGAGTGGGCTCATATGAATACTGCGTGGGGGCCCACGGAGTGAATTTCGGATGTTCCTACCGCAAAATCTGAAGGCATTAAATTATTTCACACTGTCTCGTTTTGTACCACGCTACGTCGCGTTTTGCCCCGCTGGTTAGGACAAAATGAGACATATTGTTTTTTTTTTGTTTCTCTATTTTTAAAACACCCCTTTGAATTGTGACAACACGGTCGTTTTTGCAGCACATACCTTTTACCAAAAGTAGGTGTACTCCTTTCGCATTGGTATGGCAGACACTCCTACATGCGACTACTGCGGAGATGAAGAGACCATCGAACACGTCCTGTGCAGCTGCGCTTGCTACGACACACAGCGATGCCAGCTCCGGATGCTTTTGAATCAACTTGACCCCGGACCATTTTGTGGGCAGAAGATACTAAGACCTTGGGCCTCAGTTGCGCAGAAAGCAACTAAAGCACAGCTACTTTACCTTAAGTCAACAAACCTGAGCGACCGCCTGTAGACTGTGTGTGCTCCCCGAGTGTGCTCGTGATTGTGTGTACCGTCTCATCTCTCTACAACCTCTTTTCTCCCCTTTATCCCTTCCCCAGTGCAGGGTAGCAAACCGGATGTGCGTCTGGTTAACCTCCCTGCCTTTCCTTGCATCTTTATCTCTCTCTCTCTCAGTTTCTGCGTTGACATTTATTGGTAAAGAGTTAAATAAAAATAATATTCACTACTTTCAATTTTTTGTCGCATTTTAGACCACCCTACCCTACTTACGGTGCTCAGCTGCTGACCATAAGGTGGCGGGTTCGATCCCGGTGGTCGCATTTCAGTGGAGGCAAAAAGCTACAAGCCCGTGTACTGTACAATGTTCGTGCATGTTATGAAAAAATACCAGAAAGTCAAATTTTTTAGAGCCCTTTGCTACGGCGTCCTCCATAATCACATTGTGATTTCAGGACGTAAACTCCAGAAATTATCATTATCGGTTCACGCACGCAGCAGCAACCAGAGCTATCACAAAATAATATTGTAGAGCAATCTTCTTAGTCAGAACGTGGCACACTTTTTTTTTTCTCCAGCGAAGCAACGCGTATTATTTCCCTTCACTGTTTCACAAGTATCCAGGCTGTATATAGGTCGCGCATCCTCCAATTGCAAGCGCAGTTACTCCTAAACGCCAGAGACTATTAATCACATCCTGTGTGTGTGCCCTTTATATGAAGTTGAAAGAGACCTCTAAAGCGCCTCACAGGTGACCTAGACTGCAGACCCTTTTTGGAAGAGAAACTCTTGGGTGCTTGGGAACGTGTGGATCACGCCCAACGCAGTTTAAAGGGTCTGCTTGCATTTCTAAGCAAGATAGGTTTAGATTTCCTTCTTTAGAGAATCTGATAATGTAGATACTTTTGTGCGTGTACTACACCGAACTAGACATTGTGTGCAGTGACTCATTGTGCTATACCACAATCACCCCTCATCATACCCTCCTTTTTCTTTCCCCTTTCCCCTTAGCAGGCCAGAAATGTGCTTTCAAGACGACCTCTCCTCCTTCTTCTCGTTAAAAATCTTCTTCTTACTCCTAAACATGAGTGTTGTGAACGCGTACTTTGGGATCAGAGTTCACGCGCAGACAATACCTGACTACATACGGAGCGCCAGCTTTGAACGTACACTTCGCTACGTTACTGCACCGGCCGGTTCATGTTCGCCAAGCTCTGACTTGGCGAACATGAACATGATTTTAGACTGTTCACCACGGTCTGCGGACGTACTTCGCGAGATTTCGCACGCCATGTGCTGTGATGTAACCAAGCGCAATGTTACCAATTTCGTTTCGCAGACACATCGACAAAGCCGCCCACCACGGCCCAGCAGCAGCCAGGACACGCGCAGCTGCAGCAACAGCCGAGCAATGAGCAGGAGACAAGGCAGCAGCAAGAGCCGGCGCAACCGAAGCTGCAACCCACGCAGCAACCCGATCAGTGGAAAACTCAGCAAGCACAGCAAGACACGCAGCGACCGCAATTGCAACAGCCCGACCACAAGCAACTTCAGGAAGAAACGACGCCGACCGAACAACCAGTGAAGACGGAACAGCCTATCGGGGAGCAAACGCATCAGCCGGGGCAACAGCAACAAGTCGCTGAAGCCCACACGCAGGAACAAGACCAAGGGAAAGAGCAGACACAACAACCGGGGACCGAACAAACTGACAAGTCCGAGCAACAGACGGACAGACCACCGGAGCAACACGACGATAGGCAACCGAGCCAGTTAGTGCAAGTTCAGGAGCCGCAGCAGCAAGTGCTAGAGCAACAAGAGAGCAACACAACGGACGGTCGTTACTAGCGCAGCGCCACCGGCGGCTACAGAGCCGACGAGGAACCAGAGCGGCGGCAGCGCGTGCGGTGCCCGCCCGTGCGTGCACGGCAAGTGCGAAGACCTGCCGGCCGGGAGCGGAGGCTTCCGGTGCTACTGCCTGCCGGGCTACGGGGGCGACCTGTGCGAGTTCGAGTACGACGAGTGCGACTCCGGACCGTGCGCGCACGGCGCCCAGTGCGAGGACCTGGTGGCCGGCTTCCGCTGCCACTGCGGGCCAGGCTACGCGGGGCGCCGCTGCGAGATCAAGGTGGACCTGTGCCGGCCCAACCCGTGCCCGCCGCCCGCACAATGCCTGGACCGCGGGAACAACTACTCCTGCCTGTGCAGGCACGACGGTGAGTGGGGCCGATCGATGGCCCGCATGGTCTTTATCTACATCGGGGAAATATAGGAACAATGTCGCACAAAAAAAACTTCAGTTAAAGGCCCTGCGAGTCTTTGGGACCGTTGAAAGGGACCAGGTGGGCGAAGGCCAGATATTATTGAGCACATTGTGGCAGCTTCTTCGGCCCGCTGCAGACATCCCAAAGTTGGTCTTCAAGGACAGAGTTGTGCAACAAAGTCTCCCAGCGCGCGCGGAGGCGGTATGTATAGAGGCTGCATCCCCGGTATATTGTGTATAATCTCTCGACATTCCCGTTTGTTCCACAGTGTCTGTAGAACACAGTTCTTGCATTTATCAGCCATACATATGTCTCGGTAAATGAGGTGTCCGATCACGCCCAGCCGCGGCGGTCTAGTGGCTACAAGGTATTCGGCTGCTGACCCGCAGGTCAAAGGATCGAATCCCGGCTGCGGCAGCTGCATTTTTGATGGAGGCGGAAATGCTGTAGGCCCGTGCTCAGATTTGTGTGAGCGTTAAAAAAAAAAACCAGGTGGTGGAAATTTCCGGAGCCCTCCTTGGCGTCTCTCATAATCATAAGGTGGTTTTGGGTCGTTAAACCCCGCATATCAATCGGTCGAGGTGTTGGATCACCGAGCCAGTTCGGATAAAGAGCAGCATTTCCTAGCGCATTCCGCACTAGCACAGTTCGTATAATAGAAATTCGCTATGGGATCTGATGCTTATGGACATATAGTTGGCCGGGGCGGCCAGCCAATGAAAAAGCCCTTAAAAACTAAAAACATTACTAATTTGGCTCAGGAGCACCTTTCTGTAGCAAGTATGACATTTAATTTTCTTTCGCGAAATTTGCCGTTTTGGAAGCGCTGTAAGCTATTCGCAAGAGCACTGTTTGAGGGACAGCAATCTCACCTTCTGTCATGCCAGAAAAGACGTTCGACTCTCTTTGATGTTGTTATGCTCGTCAAGTTCTTTGCTTTCTCCACAGACTTCCAATGTGTTACAAATGGAAGTAAGTGCGGCAGAACACTTGCCATTTGAATATAGTTCAAATCATTTAAATATATAAGCAAGAACTAAAAATAGGCAGTGGGAATCGATGATATGCGAAGCACGAATTAGAAAGCTTGATATGTCACTTTAAAATCAGCATAACGTTACGAGGTGGAGGTAAATGATGCCGTACATGACTTCTGTGTCATGATTATCATGTTTGGTTGTGTCGTTTACCTTTGTCACCTATTCACGTCACGTGATACCAAATTTAGTATATGTGGAACTAGCGAAACGCCCGCGAGCACGCCATAGCGTGTTATGTTGCCATGTTTTACATGACACGCGTGTCAGGATTATCATGTTTCCACCAGTCATATATTACGTCATCCATTGAAGTCACATAACACCAAATTTGGTATATATGGTGCTAGCAAAACGGCCGCGAGCGCATCATGAAGGGCCCAATATACTCCAATGTAGCGTTGACGCGCGCGCACGCTGGGCACAGCGACGCTACGTTAGCGAAACGCGAGCACTCTATACTCTGACGCCGGGCGCGACCGGCGCGGACAGCGTCCGTCGGCGCGGGGTGATGGAAACCGGCGCGAACTGCGAAATGCTGCATTTCGTGCTGATCCGTTACCCAGACAACACTGCGTCTCCTTCTTGTCATGACGGAGGAACGCCAGACGGGCTGAAACGCGCATTCGTCAAAACAACGCAGCGCGGCGCGCACCTGCGAGTATACGGCAGGACCGGCGCCTGGCGTGGCAACGCCTGAGTGACGCGACGAAATAAACGCCGGCGATCACGCGCACCGCGTCACGTCGAAATGTATTGGCTCCTTGACTGTGGCATGTAGTCATGTTCTCGCATGACACGCATCTCATGATTATTATATTTGCACCAGTCACATACCTTCGTCATCCATTGGAGTCACGTAATACCATGTTTGGCATATGTGAAGCTAGCGAAACGGCCGCGAGCGTATCATCAGTGTGGCATGTAGTCATGTTGTTGCATGACACGCATGTCGTGATTATCATGTTTGGATGGGTCATTGACCTATGTCAGTCCGTTCGCGTCACGTAATACCGAGTTTGGTAGATGTGAAGCTAGCGAAACGGCCGCGAGCGCCTCATGAGCGTAGCATGTTGTCATGTTGTGACATGACACGCATCTCAAGTTTATCATGTTTGCACCAGTATCATACGTTCGTCACCCATTCACGTCCCGTAATGCCAAGTTTGGTATAAGTGAAGCTAGTGAAAGAGCCGCCAGCGCATCATGAGCGTGGCATGTAATCATGTTGTTACATGACACGCATGTCATGATTTTCATGTTAAGCTCTGTCGCTTGTGTTCGCCATGCAATCATGCCATACCATACCAGTTTCGCCACACGCCATGTGAAAGAAACCACCGCAATAGCCGCAGGATTATGAAATGTAAATCAAGACATTCATGACATACATGTCATGATTTTCATGTTATGACGAGACAAATATGTTATTCATACAGTCCTGTTATGCCATACCTAGTTTGGTACTGAAACTATTATCAGAACGGCCAAGAGAGCTAAAAGTCGTAGGCGGCTAGATAGATAGATACGCTCTATGTCGCCGAAGTTCGCTAAGAAATGCTTCGCATTTAAGAAACGGCACACGTTCTGAAATGTACAATCATGAGCAATACGAGCTCGAACAGTTTTAAATGTGATTGCGACTAAAAGCAGCGCAAAAATGTGTTTGTGAAACTGAATGCTCAAACGGAAAGGCATCTCTGGCAATTCAATGTACGTCACGTTCATATCACTACATTACAAATAATAGTCGAATGAGGTTGAACACCCGTGTTGGAGCTCGTTGTGCGAAGGACTACGTTCAGATTACCAGCCTGTTCTGTCCCGTTTATCAGTTGGAGTGTGCGGCATAGCTCGAAGCGTTATCGAAATTACTAATTATAATAAACAGACACGCTGCTGTTAATGCGTCTAGAAATTCGGAAGCATCGCTCATGACATGTATTTGTTTTACCGTTATTCAATTCCCTCCCCTTCCGAATAACATGGTTGCCGGAAAAACTGTCGGTAACGTTAGAGAAGGCATGAGTTGGTGGTTCATTTCACGCCGTCCGCCACGAGCGCGTTCCCTACAAAGCTCCACCGTGTTCTATTTTTGGCACACAACTTCACCTAAAGCGTTGGCAGATTCGTTAGGAGGCGTTCGGAGACCACGTCTCGTTTCGGCACAGATATCCGTGCGAGAGCTTTGTGATGTGACGACATCGCTTTGTGATGTCGTCACGAGCGGGCGCACTGGCGGCGTATGCCGTTCTTGACCCAGCTTGGCAAAAGAAAGGAGGCCGGCGCGATTCCTTTTCAAGGGCGGATGCACCGAGTGTGGCGGCATGCCGCCGATATGCGCCCGGAAACGATATGGGCTCGGCGGTGCTCACGTGGGCCACCGGTTTTCTCCCAAGTTCTTCCAAAAACAAACTCGTACTCATGTAAACAGCGCGAAACGAGTATGGGAACACGTGCCACAGATTTCAAACGCAATTTTACTGCGTGGAAGTGTTCCTTACTTCCTCTTTTTGCCCCCCCCCCAAAAAAAAAACAAAACAACTGTCATTGTTGATCTAACACTAGGAGTTAATATATAAATAAACATTTTCATACGAAACAAACCTTTCGTATACGAGACGAGAGATTTATTTCAGCCCTTGCAAACGTGTTCAAGCGCCCTCTGTCCACCCGCCTTTCTCTCTCCTTTCTTTTCTTTTTTACTGAAACAACTGGCATACGACAGACATGCATACATAATCTTTATATAGACAAGCAGTGCAACACGCTGTACCTAAAGCGGAAATCCCATGGAGGGTCAAGGGATAAGGAAAAACAAAACAAAAGGTACTTGTAGCAAATCTTGTGTACAGTGCCCGCGTAAAGTGGAGAACTCCGGACGTCAACGTGTACTTGTAGCTGGCGATCTGCCGGTCGTTTCATTTTTAAATTGCGCGCCAGAATTTCAGCGCGTAACGTAAGAAACTTTAAAAAAATACAGCATATCTACAAAGTGAATGACTATGAGTGGGGCAAAGCGTCCATGCGTCTGTCCGTGCGCCCGTTCGTCCACACCTCTGGATCCTGCCGACGAGCACGAGCCGCAGCGGCCTTCCGCAACCAGCGCTCTTCGTCGTGCATGGTCTACCAAACACCACGATCTGGCAAGCACACTCGTGCTATGGTACTCCGCGCAGAAGCCAATCAGAGAGCAGCTGCACCGCCAGCGCCATCTAGCATACCTTCACCCATCCGCCGTATTGTACGCATGTCTATGGGACAACACCATCTCGGAAACAAGACGAGAAATGGAAGACGTACAGCGCCGTCTAGTATATCGTCACCCAACTGCAGTCTGCATGCATCTAAGGGACAGTGCTTTCTAGTGCATGAGAAGGGAGGCGCTACTGGTCGACGCTGCTCGAACACCGGCCAGGTCTCACCATAACAAGCTTCTCCGCTAAAACGTATTTTCTGAATTTTCGTGGCGTTGGCTGAATGAAATTTTCTAAAACATCGTATGCTGAGTCTGTGGCGCCCACACATTACAATGTGCTTCATTTTTATTTATTCTAAGCTATGTATGATGCAGTAGACGTCTTCAAAATCTCTTACGTCACGTTCACCACCAAACGGTCTAGCGCGGGAACCTCAAGGTGGTGTTGCCACAGGCATTTTCTTTTGTGCGTTTTCTGGCTTTTACTAAGCGTCGCGTCACGGTAAGAGTGGTGTTTTCGGGATTGTGAAAATGTACCTTACTAATCGACGAAAAATCGTTTCGCTCTTTAGTGTCCCTTTTAACTACCGTCTTTATCGGACAGAACAAAGGCTCCTTATAAACGAAGGTGTATTTATAAACAGGCTTCCACGTACAAAAAAAAAAGTCAATCTTTCAAACTTACCGCTTTCTAGTTCACCCGGCGACCAGCGAATAGTTGATTAAATATAAAAATGTGGAGTGAATATATGCGTATGGAAGGGTCACGCCTCAAATGCGAACCACAACCGTTGCAGGTCCGGGCTGCACGCAGCGATACGACCCCTGCTTCCCGAACCCTTGTCAGAACGGTGGCTCGTGCTGGCCCAGCTTGGACTCTTTCTACTGCTCCTGCGGCCGGGTTTCACCGGCGACACGTGCGAGCTCAATGCGTCAGACGGCGGCTCGCGGCTGCCGTCTTCTGCACCCGCCGATGCCATGGCCAGGACGCAGGGTCAGTCTTCTTCCTCGCCAAGTGCTCTCAAGTTCTTGCGTAACTATAGACGTCACCTATTCCATGTGTGTAAACAGCGACAAGCATGTTGCCGTCGATAGAGATACTGTATATGGTGCCTTTAGGTAGCATGGAGCATATACAGTGACTTCACAGAACACCTAACGCTCTAGCCGTCGACATACTGAGGCGCTTGAGGCTCCGCCCAGTCCAAAGCTCGCCACCGCCCTCTGTGATCACGTGACAGCTGGCCCAGCAGCTGCAAAGCTGCCTCCGAGCACAACGCGTAGGAGGAGTGGCGGAGCCTGAGCCTACGCGCCGCGACGTCACTACGAGCGCCTCAGTAGATTGAAAACATTTACTCCAAAAACAAGAGAGAAGTGCCGACCGGTTGTGCCCCCGCGTCACATAAGCCTCAAGTTCACGACGCACGCTGGAGAATCGACGTAGCTTCTCGTCTTATAGTCGCCTCATACCCGTGCTTAGCCTTTAGCGCGCTCGTTGGCACGAAAGGAGAGAGCGTGTGACAAATCCCTACAACTCCGCTCGTACTTGACAGATTAAAAAAAAAGAGAAAAAATACGGCAGTCCATTTGTGTGGCAATGAACTAGTTCAATAAAGTCCTTCTATGATTACGTGGAAATATGTTGCAGGGTCGCTTCAAGTAAAAGAATTATTACAATGTTAAATTAAGGTGGAAACTTTAGCGCAAACCAAGATGGACCACAAAAAATAGAAGACACAAGCACTGGTTCTGCCTTTACAAGGTGCCAAAAGATAATGAGGCATGCCTTAACAGGGCAGTGCAGATTGATTATGATTACCTAGGTAGGATCACCCGAGTTCTTTTTTCGTCGTGCATCAAGCAGAAGTAGCCGGTCATTATTGCGCTTGCTCCTTTTCACTTGGAAAGAGCACCGACTTCTCGTCCTCGTGTTTAGCTGACCAATGCCTGACCAATGTGATTGGCGAAACAAGCGTATAGTATTCAATCGAGCTTAATACCGAGGCTCAATCGTGCTAATACCGATTCATGAGGCTCAGCAGCACTGCATCAATCAGCAGTAATATCGAAAAATTATTGTTATGTAGTGTTTATAGATTGTACACCTATCCTATGTTGCAGGCCAAAAGGGCCTATGTCTGGAGGGCTAAGTTAGCAGTTACCCATCGAGACCCAGAATAGGGACTCCACCAAATAGCTTGTTTTGCAGAAATTCCGGCGTCATTGGTTTGGTCGTGAGCAAAAAAATTTGAAAAACATGGAAAAAATAAATAATAAAAAACATGGGTTCGAGTGGGGGATCGAACGCGGGTCGTTTACGTGGCAAGCAGGTGTTCTACCACAAAGCAGTGTGTCTTTTTTTTCTCTTTTTTTTTTCTTTAACACATGGAATCAACACCAGCAATTGTGAACTACGCATAACATAATTCATCAAAAGTCAGGTAAACACCCACAAGCATCCAGAAAAGGAAGCCACTGCGGAACGGAACGGGGTCGAAAGTCTCAACAACAGATGTGCACTTGAGCAGCTGCTTCTCGGAAGACGAATTTCGCCAACCGTGGTGGCTCGGCGTGTCTATCAATCGTGCGACTTCTACATAGTGAGTTAAGTCCCAATACCATAAACAGATCACACGGAGTCTAATTGGTAGGGCTCTTTTTGAAAGGGAGGAACCAAATGTGAGTGAAAGTTCTTTTCTGATTGTTCTTTTTAGAATGTGCCAAAAATAATGTTCGTCACAAGAACAAATGAAACGATGCTCTATCGAATCAGGTTGGTTGCAGAGTCTACAATTTACTGTTCAGGGCACATATACGATTTTTCATTGAGCTGTATCTTAACTGGTAGAGTGGAAGTGTGCAATTTAAAGAAAAATGCTTTCGCTGCAGGAGATATCCACATTGTACGGACACGGAATAATACATCGTGACCAGACAGAAGCGAATATCGCAGTCGATAAATAGGTTTGAGGAAAAGGTTATTCACAAGTGCAGCAGTTAACGTTGTTCCGTCAATATTATGCAAATACTCTAAACTGAATCTGGCTTTTGAAAAATTGACAGTATCAAGCATTTTTTTTTAAGGAATCCCCACAACTGCAAATCCTTTGCAACGCCTATTGTGACATAAATAAAAGCAAGGTGGTAACACAGATGGTTTTGAAGGACTGCTAATAAAAAGGGGTGGCACACATAGTCTTCTAGTGAACACAGTGAAAATAACTTCATTTGCTTGGAAATGGAGTGAAACTAAATTTCATGCTTTACAAACACACCCTTCCTGGATACATTCCTTACAATATGAAACATTGCAGTAATCATACGTGGTGCTAGCGTACATTGCCATTGGTCTTCAGAACATGTTATTTTCAAAATGACTTCATGGTTTAAAGCCAGTCACCCACTACAAAAGGCACACACGTTACTGTGCCTATTCCCTTGAGGCCACGTAATGGGTGCAGAGCAAGTTCGAAAAGATTTCATGCGCTAAGTGTTTGAAGTACGCACGGGACAGAATATCGCTATCGTGTTCGACTCTTAAAGGCAAAGCTTAAGAGTCCTCCAATCTTTTTTTTTTTTTTTTTCATTGGAACCCGTGCCTCATGTTCAGTGAGATCGCGAGCGGGCACACGTTGCGGCATCTCGCGGTGGCCGCGGTAATTATGTAGCTCACAATGCTCAACTAGGCCAATGACCGTGTACTTAGGTTTATGGCACGGTCATTTTAATCGATGGCATCATTTATCGAGATAATAGGGAGCGATTAGGGGCTTTGAGAATTGTAAATTGCATGCCGCGTGCTGCGCGCGATGATGTTTGGCTCACATGTTCTCAGGAGCTCCGTGTACCAAGCGGCAGCGTTTTCTGACCAAGCTGAAAGGTGCAGCAGGGTCCCTTCAACTGACAACTAATGTTGCCGCTGCCTCGTCTCAACGCTGGAAACCAGGTTTTTTAGTTATCTAATGTCTTAAAATGGCCCTGCAACACTTTTTCAGCATGGTCAGAAAATGCTGCCGATTGGTAGTCGAGGCTATTTGAAAACAAGCGTGTCAAATATTATAGCGCAGCACGTAGACTGGAATTTACAATAAATGCTCAAAAAAGCAAAAAATCACTTTCTCTTCTTCCGACAGATGCGGCTACCGCTTCAAAAATCACTATGTCTCGGGAAAAATATAAGCCATTGGCTGATTTGAGCGTGGCGCGCTCTTTCACAACTGAAACCGCAGCAAAAGGTTGCGATTTGCCCCAGCATGCGTGCGGGATCGCACTGAAGGGCTACGCATCCAAAGAAAAAGAAGAGGGGGGAGAGAAAGTGCTCAACGTGGCGCGCGTGATGCATTTGCTTTCTCTATGCCATCCCTCTATGTTTAGCTTTCAGTGGTTTCGTCGGGACCAAGGAGGATACATAAAACTTGCTGGAGTGGAAGGGACGCTGTGCGAGTGAAGCCAGCCGCCGCCATCTTGCCACTGGCAAAAAGCGTGCTCAGCGCCCTCGCGAGCTGCTGATTTCGTCCGTTCTTGTTTCACCTTGTCGGCTTGTAAAGACAAATGGTTTACAATGGTTGCCTCTTGCGTCATTTACGGATGTGCCAACAGGTTGAAAAAAGGTTGTGACCTCACATTCCACCTGTACGTACACGAAAACGTCTTTGACATAGCCATTCCGCGCTCGTTACTAAAGGGAGCTATAGCGGACGCGATCTAAGCGTGCAAAACATAACAGTCCGGATTTGTTTTACAGATTTACTAAAAATCCCGTAACGCGGAGCCTCTGGGAGTGGGCCGTTCGCCGTGAGAAGTAGAATGCGAAAGACGGAGATCACTTCGCTCTGTGCACTTCGCGCCAGAGTGCTTTGACCACCTCTTTGACATTGAAGGGAAGCATGTGAAATGGGGTTATGAAGTGGCATTGAAGGCACTTCAACGTGAAGAAGGTTTGTGGCTCGGAAACAAACTTACGAAAGTCCACGTCCAATGGGAAAAGCAAGAAAATAAGGGTGTGATATGCTGTACAACTGAACGAGTGCCTCAGTTGCCGACGCTTTGGACTTCTGCGAACAAAAGCTAAATCTGCCGCAATTCAAGGGTGCCAGCACAAGATCTACGTTTATTAGAACTTTTGATGGCTTAGTTGACATCTTAAACTCCAGGAACCCGCTGGCAAGGTCGTACAAAGCGCCTTTTCGGCAAGGGAACGAATCATTCTGGAAGTCGTTTTTTTTTTTTTTTTGTGGAGACTCGAACGTACATAAACGGGCTGAGAGATCCGGCAGTGACAGAAGGACTGAAAAAAATGGATTCATTGGTTTTTGGATATGCATGGCAAGCACCGAAAGAATGTTTGACAGACTTGTCAGCCAGGGTCAGCTGAAATACTGACACACAAACTCAGTCAAGACTATGTCGAAAACTTCTTTGAATCAATACGTGGATGAGGCGGCCATAACAACAACCCAACAGCTTCGCAGTTTATGGCTGCATACAAGCGTCTATTGGTTCAGACGGAAGTCACGTCTTCAAGTTCTGGACACTGCTCCCAAGATGTTCTCTCCGTATTGAATGCAACGACTCCTGCAGCCATGGTACATCCAAAAAGCAATCTCACTGACATGCGCTAGGCCCCAGTCCTGCAGCTCGATGACCACGACAATACGCATCGCATTGACTAGCCCGAAAGCTTTTCTGCTTTTGTCAATTCCGTGGTGCCATACATAGCAGGCTTCATTGTTCGAAAGGTCGAACTGCAACTACCTGTGAAGAGTGCATAGCAGCCATGCACTCAGATGAGCTGACACCTTTAATTAAATGTAAGAGGCGAGTTGGTCTTGTTTTACCGGTCGCGAGATGTCATTAGCCCCTGTAAAGAAGTCGAGGACTGAGGTGGCTACAGGCTGAATGTGATTCCATCACACGGTGAAGTCTAGAGCAAACATGTTCTCAGGAGCTTCTTGTACCGAGCGGCAGCGTTTTCTGACCAACCTCAAAGGTGCAGCAGGGTCCCTTTAACTGATAAATAATGTTGCCGCTGCCTCGTCTCAACGCTGGAAACCAGGCTGTTTTCTTATCTAATGTCTTAAAATGGCCCTGCATCACTTTTTCAGCATGGTCAGAAAATGCTGCCGATTGGTAGTCGAGGCTACTGAAAACAAGCGTGTCAAATATTATAGCGCAGCACGTGGGCTGGAATTTACAATAAATTCTCAAAAGCAGCAAAAAATCTCTTTCTCTTTTTCTGACAGATGCGGCTACTGCTTCAAAAATCACTATGTCTCGGGAAAAATATCAGCCATTGGCTGGTTTGAGCATGGCGCGCTCTTTCGCAACTGGAACCGCAGCGAAAGGCTGCGATTTGCCCCCGCATGCGTGCGAGATCGAACTGAAGGGCCACGCATCCAAAGAAAAAGAAGAGGGGGGAGAGAAAGTGCTCAACGTGGCGCACGTGACGCATTTGCTTTCTCTATGCCATCCCTCTCTGTTTAGCTTTCAGTGGTTTCGTCGGGACCAGAGGAGAGAATGCAATGGCAGCGTGCGACAAGTATTTGTAACTCTGCTCGTACTAGATGGATACTGAAAATTTTTGCAGTCATGAATTCATGAGGCAATAAACTTCTCAGGTGAATCCATTCCATGGTTACTTAAAAAAGTGTTGTAGGGCCCCTTAAAAGTTTGTATACCAGTGAGTACGTAACATGCCTATCGTGGCCACGTACGTAAGCAAGACAACCTTGTGCAGAGAAGCTGCGTTCTTTCGCAGGTCATCCTACTGACCAGCTGCATAACATCTACATCGCGGCAGCTACTTTGGCAGGCGCCTGCCTCATCGTGCTGGCTGTGGTGAGCGTGTGCCACTGCCGCGTGCACCAGAGCTACCGAGGCTGCGTGCGACGCCTCGGACGATCCTGCGCCCAGCTCAAGCAGCGCACGCTGTACGGCCAGTTTTCCCATCTTTCCTGCTCATCTCACTCTCCACCACTTATATCTGCACGTGGTTCTCAGCATAACAGCGAGTTCAGGCGACTGAGTGATACCACCATTCTTTTGCTCCGCCATACTTTTACAGCAGGACAAGGAACGTTAAGGCCCGACACACATTTGAGCACATATGTGTGTGCAATCTTTCCCTTTTGGTGCTGGTAGAACGAGGCTCATTCACTGAAGGCATACCTCACTTGCTGAAACATTGACTTTACTGCACGGCCGATTGACTTTTTGATGAACAATCTAGCAAAATAACGGGGCATGAGAAAGAAACAGACACACAAACGCTGCTTCTTTCTCGTGCCCTGTAATTTTTCCGGATTTTCTTGTAGTAAAATGAACTAACTGGCTCAGATTTCGCCTGTTCTGAACAAGAATCTTCGAGTCAGATACACCACAACTTTATCTATCTACAGTCATACACAAACATGCCCAGGCTTAGTTTTGCCGCAGACCTTCTCCCCGCTTTCAGTCTTCTCACTGGTCAAGTCAGAAAAAAAATTGGCTTCACAATGCATGAAAAAATAAAAACTCAAGTGATGACCCACTGCTCACGGGCTTTACGAGGGTAAAAAGTGCAAAGGAACAATGGTTCTTGGAATGTAACACCAGGCACCCTTTGTCACAATTTTCGTGAAAAATAAGGTTTAATCCAGCATGTATACATGCAGCAGTGGCGAGGGGTCTGGCTGGCCGGTCTCAGTTGGAGTGAGCCAGGAAGAGGGGGAAACGACTCCCTCCCCCATTAGAACCCAGCGCTCACCTATGCTTTTAAAGAGACAGGTCCGACTGATTAAAGGTATAGACTAAGCGCCTCCCGCAGATTAGACGAATGGAGAGTGAGTGCACGCCCATTTCTATAAGGCTGAAGTTTTTCTTTTTGTTGAATCATGAGTGTCTTTAGTTCTAGCAGTGGTCTTACTTTTAACCACAGACATCTGTTATCTTTTCGACTGCGAGAACCTTACGCCCTGTTGGTCCTTGAACACCTTCCTTTGTTCAGCTTTTAATGCTTAATTTTTGTGGTGACTGTACCGCATTGAACCCCATCTGCTTCAAAGCAGCACGTGATTCAGTCTGATCCAGTGCTTCTATTGATATGACGCAATGAATTTCTGGAGGACCTGTCCTGAGTGCATTTTGGCTTTTCCCCAGCGAAGACCCAGACAAATCCTGGCTGAACCCGGATGGCAGCGTTTCTGAGGCGAATCCCGAGTGGTTGTCTGCCGCTTCGGCTGGCCTGCATGCTCCGCTCATCATCCGCTGAGCCGGACAGGCCGACCGCCCACAAGACGATGCCATCAGCTGTTGATGCGTGCGAAGCACGCAGACAAACTATTCAGTCCCAGCCGGGGCTACCGCTGCTACTAGAAGAAGAGATGCTAAGAGTGTAATTTCTTCTTCACATTGATCACGTGTCCGTCAAATCAAATGGCCGTCAATGACTCAAGGAATCGGTATGTGTCATGTATACGCAATGTGGTTGCAGGTTCAATTCGGCACTGTTTTTTTTAACAGCGCACTATTTAATGTCGAGGTGGATTACTGGGGATCTGTCTTCTGCACATTCCAGCCCAGCTGTGAGGGCAGAGTCTGATGAGAGCGAAAGCAAGGGCAAAGCTAAGTGGTTGAGAGGGAGACCTTGAGCAGCGAGTTGAGCCTGGTAGAGAGTGAGACGTCGAGAGGGTGAAGCTGGGTGGAAAGGAGAGCAAACATGAAATTATGGTAGGAGCAGAGCCGGTGATGGGGAGAGGAAGAGAAAGCAGGAGCGCAATTGGCTGTGCCGATGAATCAAGTCAAGCAAGGGAATGCGCGCTCAATCACAGGTGGTGCTAGTCAAAGTAGAGGAAGTGCGCGCCGAGTGTTGGCGAAAGGAGGAAAAGGCCCGCTGAAGCCATCAGCTCAGTTGTTAATCAGCCTTCGCAACATTAGGTCACTTGAAGCTGCGCATATATTTTTTTTATTTGTAGACCCCTCAGATACTCCATCATGTGCGACATGAGTGCGCTGAAGGGAGCAAACGTACACGTGCATTTATGAACATTAAAGATCCCGACTACACGTTCCACTAAAAGTCTAATAACTTCATAGAAACGTGAAACCCCACAGCTTGAACGTGGTGACAAGGTCGCAGCGGTGCAATCAACACTGCAGGCTTTGATTTGCAATAAATTAGTATTTCCTACAACAGTTGTATACTGTCCTCCTGAATTTGCACATAGCTGTTCAAAAAACGTGAGTGGATTATGTTTTGTAGAAACACAACGTCACCTTAAACTGCCCTACCAATATTGACAGCCAAAATAGTTCAGGAAAAGGAGGTGGCACCAGAATTCTCTATGGCGTGACCCATTTTCATTTACTGCTTCGTTGCGTGAAACATGCATAAGGCACCACACTGCAACCACATTGCGTCACAGGCACATCTACAATGAGTTCGTGCTATATACGTCAGCACGTGATAAAGACATGGCGAGTACGTCAATATGCCATGCCAGTGGCATGTCATGCGAAGACAAACTTGGCGCAAAAAGCAAAAATGATGCGGACACGTGCAGATGTGCCCACCAAACTGATAATCGTTCAGTATAGCTTGCATGTTCACATAAGACATAATAACACATAAAGGAAAGAAAAAATAAGGAAAAAAATATCCGGAACTTTTCAATTGGATGGGCAGTACTTGTCCTACTGTTGTCTGATCTTAGAGTATGTCGCATCAGGAAGGCTCTGCGCCATTCTTACAAGAGCAAATTTGCTCGTTATATGGCAACCAATTATGCCTGAAAAACCCTTTACCTGATAGCAAATATCTGCTCTTACTATTTGCAATGAATCGGCCCCAACTCGCTCAATTGCTAGGTTGACGTAGTCAATTGGGATTGAAATATATGAGATTTGAGTCGCTCGCTCATTACGTTCATGAGGAAAATGATGATGACCTATTCAATCCTCTCAGAGCGTGCGGTGCGATCCGAGATGCTTCCATGGACATAATAGCATTTCTTGTAATATTGGAAAGGGTCCGTGTTTTTAATCGTTGCAACTAAACATTAGCTTTGGCTTTCGACTCGAACAGAACAAGGGAATCGCCAAAAAGAAATCACTCACTTTAGCTAATGCTGCTATTGCCCAGCATTGCTTACGAAGCATCTATCTAGATGAAACCCAATGGGAACGTTGGCAATTGCTTTTTTGAGGCGTGGAGACTGGATCGGTAGATGAGAAAGGAGTAGGGGTACATGAAATCTACGGATTCTCTTGGGCCTGTATTGTGGTCTGTGCATTGTGCATGTCTTGCACTTTCTTACTTGGAAATCTGTTTTAATATACAATAACGTACATCACTTGGTAAAGGTACCAAAATAGGAAGCTCTGTTCGAGTCGTTCGCCAAATCGCACGATGCTCCGCGGGGGAGGCCCGTCCGTCCGGCCATCGCTCAGGGACCCGCTGCTTGCCAAGTGTCGTGATCGCTTGCCGCCCAATCATAAAGACTGTCTGCGCTGCAATCCCATGGACAGTGTAGCAATGGCAGCGACTGTGCAGTAAAGATGTACAGAAGAGTGCGCATCAGTGGAATTGTGCACCACGCTTCCCAAATTGTCTTGGCAACCATGAGTCACACTGAAAATTTCGGAGGCGTCGTTTTTAAACCCAGTCATGATGATGATAATGTACAGTAAGTCGTCCATAGGTGTTTCCTAGACTGGCTGGCCAGAAGTACAATGGGACATTGTGTGCACTTGTGCTATTGGTTCAAGCCAGTGCTTAGGCCATCCCATTTGACAAATAGAATGGATCCCCTGCATGTGGCTCATCTTGGCTTTGTCTCTGACGGCTGAACACTGTTTGTCTCGCGTATTGGTGAGCCGATTAAGACATTGCCTTGACCATCTGAGTAGCACAAGGCCTGGCCGCTCTTATCTGTGACTTCTCTCTAGCAGATCAACAGCTTATTAACTCTCAAGAGAAGATGACAAGCAGTGCTAGAGAAGCATTTATATTCCAGTAAGAACCAGCGTGAAATGCAAGGGCCACTGATGTCATATTGCCTATCTGAGCAAATCGTCCATGATTCATTCTGGAGTTGCTGATTGAACAGATTGATTCTCACCAAAGCATGCATGTGCTTAGAAATTTGGACAGCTCAATGGTTACTCCAATATGATGGATCTTCATGTGATGTACTTGCTTTGTTGTCTGTCATACATATGCAGTCACAGCTTTCGTGGCTAGCCGTCTGCACAGACAAGTGCCAATAATGAACTATTGTACACTTGCAGAATCGTGCATTTGGCCACCTACAGGGTAACAAAGAAAGCTTCAGCTTTCAAAGTCTTGCACCACTACACTGAGCCACAAGCAGGTATCCTGTGCTTCTCGAGGGTGCATCTCGTGATGGCTAGGCATGGCAAAATGCGCAAAAGACAACAGAATGTGTCCGACATGAAGAGGACTGCAGCACTCTACTGTACATCTTCCAACATCTACTTTTCAGGCCTGCAGACCGCGGTCCCAACAGTCACGCGTTACAAACGCGCTCGCGCACGTATGCTGCTCCCGGCAAAGTATGAATCTCGTCCACGTATCTGTAGCGTTTGCACTAGTCGTGGTTAATCACCGCTCTCTCTAACCGTCCCCACAAAGCAAACACATGCGGCTACGTACACGCACAATGTGCTTCAGTGTGTGTATGTGTGGTGTCTTTTTTGTTTGTTTGTTGGCCTCCGTTTAACAATAAAATGGCCTGTGTACAGAAAATTTGCTATGACGGATCTTCATTGGGTATGGCTACACAAACAATGTGCCAGGAGTCTAGTGTGCTTTCTGGATTAACTTATTGTCACCAGTGATTCATGATGGCCAACAGTAATGTGAAGCAGACTGTACATGATTAAAGATTTTATTTTCATATCAAGAAGCAGAATGACAACAGGTGTACTTCTATGTTGTACAAATAAGGGGCAGGACAGATGTGTTTTGGCAAAGAAGCATTGAGTGGTCCTGCAAATGTATGAAGCCTAATGTCAATGGGAAATGGATACAATAGACTGATGAGAATTCAAGGTGGTCTTGAATAGCATAGGAATTCGTTTACCTGTGAAAGTTTTTTGTTTTTTCTTTCTTAATGTTAAATGAGATTTGCTGCAATTACAAGTCCTCATAGACCATTCTGGAATGTTCTGAAGAAGCAGCTTTTACTCCTGGCCTGTATTAAGTGAACAGTGCAGTTTTAAACTTGTACAACTAGAGCCAGGAGAAAAATATTGTTTTAATAAAACAGCAGTTGGTCCCTCTTGTTAACAGCGTTATGGCTTCATTGGCCTACTCCATTGACAAAACAGCTTTGAAAAATTAAAATCAAATACAGCTGTGCTTGCCTTTGCTTTGGTCCTGGAACAAACAGGCATGCATTAAGCATAGTCTGGTTGCTACAATAGGGAGATAAAAAAAACTGCTCTACAAGCACTGTTCTTTGTTAATATTTAGAACTAGTTTTAGCCTGAGATAACACTGCTGCTTTTAGTGTTTTTAGATTGAAAATGGAAGAGCTTGCATTATCACACATCCATGGTGGGTGGAAAATTCGTGAAGGCACAACCCACCTCACTGTGGCATCCTTCATGATAGCGAATACTACAAATAATTTTAAAGGGAATCTTGAGCATGTCTGTTTACCAGTCTTTTGGTACTCCATCCATGCACTAGACCATCACTGAATATACAAGTCATGAATGGAGTGTCCTAAGCAAAAACACACTTGCTGGCTTAGTTTTTGACTGCCTAGAGCCCTATAAAAAATGACCTCTCAAAACCTGATGCACATGGATGAAAAATAGGTTTCACCATGAATTAAATACAGATGGGAATCGACCCCATGACATGGTGCTTTGAAGAGTCTCAGAGATAACCGTTCTGTACTACAAACAGTTCAAGGTCTGAGGTATGGCACTTCGGATAGACTTGTACATATTATGCCCACAACACGGATTCAGTAGATGACAAGCAAAGGAAAACTACTTTGAAACTACATTTCATTCTGCATGACAGGCCCTGTGAAATTAGTTGGTTTTTTTTTTAACGGGGGGGGGGGAGGGGGGTTCATTCCATTATATACCGCATGTGGTTGAAGGCAGCCTTAATATGTGTCACCACAATAGGTGCTCAACCGACGTCTCCAGTACACAAAAGCCCCGCTGCAGCTGGTCTAGTGCACTAAGGCACTAGGCTGCTGACCCGTAATTCGCAGGATCGAATCCCGGCAGCAGCGGCTGCATTTTCAATGGAGGCCAAAATGCTGTAGAACCATGTGCTCAGACTTGGGTGCACGTCAAAGAACCCCAGATGGTCGAAATTTTCGGAGCCCTTCACTACGGCATCTCTCATAATCATATGGCTGTTTTGGGTCGTCGAACCCTACATATCAACCAATTCAGTACAGGAAAAGCAGTCACATACACATAAAGGGGCAATATATAGCAGAATTTCGATATGTTGTATAAAAAATAGTTGAGTCATATGGTCATTGAAAACACACAAACATGCAAGAAGGCACAAGTATTAGCTGAATATGGCACATGTAAAAATATCCTCTGAATATGTACACTTCCTTTGCATGACCAAAGTGAAGATAACTCAGCACAGAAAATAAGACAGCAGCCAGAGTAGCCACAAATGGTAGCTGTTCTGTTTTCAGAGACGGCATATTATGAACATCACGAATAATATGTTTTCAAAAGTAACTAAGGGAGGGACTGTGAGGGGTCGATCGATGGTGGTTGGCAGTATAATATTCTAATAAATGCGCACTGCTTAGACCACTGCACCAAAAGTAGATACTTCTGGAGATATGAATGGTACATTCATAGTAGACATGTATGACTCGTTACTGAAAAATGATGAGCATAGCTGATCACTGAAGAAAGCAACGTCATGGTTGACTGCAACCATACAAATCTACCATACCAACTCAAATTCAGCCAAGCACTAGCAAGAACTGTTCATCGCAGGTAACAAAGCTGAAAATACTGTCTTGTGCATTAGAGCTGGGAAGTGAATCGTTTACCTCTCATTACCTGTGCCAGTGCTGTAAAGTGCTCGGTGGCAGTGATATGATGGATTTCTCAGATTTAGTGTCATGACAAACCATGAAATAGGCGAGCGAGGTGGATATTCACTGCTGCATTGCTAAGTAGCTATGAGAAACGATGGTGTTTATCAGAAAATGATGACGCACCTGTACCTTACACACACAAAATTTGACTGGACAAACAGGAGCACATTTTAGTGCCCGAGATAAGCTCACATGAGGGCTTGCACTGGCAGTGAAGGTACCAACTGGACCAGCACACGTGTATATCTGCCCCACCATTATGAGAAAAATATGCAAAAAATAGAGGCACAGGACAGTGGTAAAGAAAAGTTACATATAACTACACTGCAATAAACTAGTGGGATAATCATAAGATGAACAGGTGAAGTGCCTCAGACTGGCTGGCCGACGTTTCAATAGGAGAAAAATATCATTTTCTAAGGCGTGCCTTCGAAAAAGATAGGTCCTTCTATTGAAACGTCGGCTGGCCAGTCTGAGGCACTTCACCTGTTCATCTTATGATTATCCCACTACGTTGTTTTCATTTGTCGGCTCCCATCAAGATTTTGGATTTTCTACACTGCAATAAAGGTAAGATTATGTTTGGAATAGGCCAATATAATAATGAACTCTTAACATGCAAAATATGTGTTGCTTGAGAGAGTGCATGAGAACACAATGTAATTAAGGCACAACAGTGTGAGTAGTGTACTCATTCAGTAACAATACAGGAACAGCACCGGTCACAAATGAGCAATACAAATTTACTGCAACAAACAGTATGAGCCCCTCAGGACAGCAAAAAATTAAGGACAGCACTACAAAATTTTAAGTGACCATACTTGTACAGCCACAAGAGAACAGCGTACACCGGGCAGCAATCTTTTTGTCGAAATATACATCTTTGAAAAGTGATAATTACAGACGCCTGTAGCTCTGATGGCAAGGAGCTGGTGGCTGACACACACGAACACAAAGATGTGCCTGTAAACCATTCCTGTTTCAGGCCTTCTCAACTGACAGTGGATAGCAGAAAAAATTGTGTTGGGAAGCACACATATGTATGACTGAATCTTTTGCATCACCTTCTGCGTTAGCTTCTCTCATTACCCATGTGCTCGATCGTATGGTGGATTGCAGGGCTCTTACATACTGTTGTTTCCTGCAGCCCGTACTTATGTCTTTTAGTTTAGTTTCATGGGTGATGGGGCCAGTCAAGCTGTGAAACTCAGCTCCATTTTTTCGCCCATCATATCTGAACAATTCTGAATGCACTTTTGCAAACTTGCCACGCAGTTCAATATACTCAAAAAGGTCGGCCCAATGACACTCAGCATCTCTTCAAAGTAAATAAAACTTCAGCACGCACCATGCTTTAATTGACAATATTATGTGCACACAATATTACTACTCTTGTTTGCATCCCATATTCAGCTTGGGTCCCTGATGGAGAATGAGCGCATGTTTGGGACGCAAGTTACAGAAAAAGCAGTGTGTAATATTCATACATCATGCATAAAAATTGCAAACAAGAAATTGGTACAACACTGCGAAAACTGTTGCCTGCTAGCCCAATTTATCAAATCTTGCAAACCGGTCCATCACTCTGGTTTTAGATGCCTTTATAGGGACACTGAAACACTTTCTCAAGTAACCATAAAACTAACTCACTGGAAGAGCTTATTGCCTCACGAATTCAATATTGCCTCAAGAATCCATCCAGTCCGAGTGGAGTTAGAAAGGTTTGTCGCATGCTGCAAGTTGCATTCTCTCTTTTTTTCGTCCTGACGAAAGCGCTGTAAGCTAAGCAGGAAGGAATGGCAGGGCCACAGACAAACATCACATAACCTCATGACCTTAAGCACTTTTTCTTTTTTTCCTTCGAATGCTACGCTTGTTCAGTGTGATCCCGCACGCACACGTAACAAGTAGCGGCCTGCCACTGGCGATGTCTGCAAGGAGCGAGCGCGCCATGTTCAAACCGGCCAATGGTTGATAGATGGGTTGTTGAAGTGTGATTTTTGGGCATATAACGTGATTTGTCGAGAGAAGAGAAAGCAATATTTAGCTGACTTTGATCATTTATTCTGAATTCGCAGGCCGCGTGCTGTGCTATAACATTTGGCTCGCGTGTTGTCCGGAGCCTTTACTACCGATCGGCAGCGTTTTCTGACCATGCTCAAAAAGTGTTGCAGCGCCCCTTAAAATTGACACCCGTTGGCTCGCAAAATAAAATGCTATACCAATTGGGTAGCATAGAAATATAGGTAGCTCATATACAACCTGCATGGCTTCACAGTTACAACTTTTCAGTCACAACAAGGTAACTCAGTAGGTCATGCAAAAGATTCCGTCATACATATATATGTGTGCTTCCCAACACATACAGGATGCTTTACAGCTCTATTGAGACTTCTCATTGACTGGAACTGGAATGTCCTATGCTACCCATAACATAAATAATCAGTGCTTGAAATTCATCAAAAGGCAACATGTGGTATCTAGAAGCTGCCACGTGAAATTCACAAAAGCAACCGAAAGGAAGGACCTTATTATGACTGAAAAGTTGTAATGCGAAGCCATGCAGGTTGCACAAGTAGCATTCTCCAACACATGCATTCGCAAAATATTTGAGTTCGAACTGTCCCTTGTTGCTCCAGCTAGGACAGGCCATTTTTATCACATTGAATGCCTACTGATGACGAGAAACTGAGCTGCAAAGCCAGAAAAAGGAGTCATCAAGAGATAATACCACATTACAAGAGCATATGTTATGATTAAAGGCGGCCTTTTATTATATCGCAAGCTAGCATCACACTTCAATGTGCTTCTGACAGATGACGATATTGCACTTTTGCAGCTGAACAATTAATAGCAAAACAGCAGAAAAGTGCTGGTCTGACGTATCAAAAAAATTTCTGAGGTGGCTAATTCATACAGAACTGCAAAGCCAAACTAATATGAGCTACCTTGAAGTTTCAAAGTATGTTGAAAGTATATTGAGGCCAGACACTGCTATCGTTGTCTGTGCCATTGCATATCAATACTTATTTAAGGCACAAGTGAATAAGAAAAAATTAGACTCAAGGACTACAGCTGAACCTTAAGTTGTCCTTTGAGGTAGAGTTGTCTTCCATCAGTGCTTATACAAGGTATAATACAGGGCTCACTTACAGAACAGTATCTCCACTTTCTGAGTGAGAAGCATCCTATCAAGGTGAATCTTTTCTCAATGCTGAAACTCAAATACACACATTGTGTCATGTAAAAGTGGCTTGAGTGATGATGCAAAGAGATTCACCTCGTTACCATAAAAGCTTGACACTAGTGAAATACAAAATGGAGATGAACATGAGCTACCTATATTCATTAAGCCATGGTTATGGGATTAACACAAATGCTGATAGTGAACATATCCCAAGTTTACACATCTTCAATATTTTGTCATAAAATGGTGGTATACTGTTATTCAAGGCACTTCAAGTATACCAAAGCTGTAACTAGCTTACGTACTAGAATTAAAAGAAACAAAGAAAGATAACACTAAATAATCAGTGCTTGAAATTTATCAAAAGCAACATGTGGCATCTAGAAGAGGCTGCCACGTGAAATTCACAAAAGCAACCGGAAAGACGGACCTTATTGTGACTGAAATGTTGCAATGTGAATAACTTTAAAATCACCTTTCCACAGTCGCTGTTCATGCGATGCTACAGATGTCTCTCAAATGCAGTTGTGTTGTATAGTACCGTTATCAGGACACAGTGATAACGTCTGCCAAGCATGGGTGTGCTAGAGCAGCCTTTGCCGTGATGCGGCGGTGGGGGCAGAAACGCAGCATCTGGCGCAGCAAATCCATGAAGGGACCTTCGAGCTGCGGCACAGCTTGCTCCAAAGAAGTTCCACAAGAGCTGAAGTTTGAGAATGTCTGCCTTGAAACGGCAGCGTCTGCTGGCCACTCATCCGCCGGTGGAAGCCCCATGATGTCCAAGATCCTGGTCAGTTGGTCCTGCCTCGGAACGACCGCCAAAGAGAGGCTTGCGGCGTGCCATTTCAGCCAAGATACAACCACAGCTCCAAAGATCCACTGGCGAGCCGTAGTTTGCTTGAAGGAGAACCTGCAAGGGTTTTAATGGCCTGTTGTGGGCATGCAATTGCACTTATAGCAAGGTTTGTTCTCCAAATAAAACTTTCAGTTGCGAGTCAGCGCTAGTATGAGTCCCTTCTGTCTTCAATCTTCATTGGTCTCATGCTATACCCAAAAATACTGCCTTACCAACTAGCCCAACTTTCAATACTATTGCAAAATGTGGGACAACAGACTGGCCTCACAGGTTCTCAGTCCAGAAAGCTATACGAGTGGAATAACTTGATCTTGAGCAACTTATCAGTACCGAGAATTCAACAGATTTGTACTTATTGCAAATCAGTTCTGCAGAATCCCGTAAGGTTAAGAAATAGAACTTGACAACTGCCAGCATATAGCACAAGTGATTGTCTCAGAAAGCTAGAAAGCTTTATTTCCGAAAAATCTGAGTGGATTTCCCTGAGGCTTCATGCTACAAACTGGAAATTATCAATTTCGCTTTCATAGATTAGTACTAACATGCAGTAAAAGCAATTTCACTTCCCATTAACACTAAAAGATTTCAAATTTTATGTAGGCATTGTAGAAAGTATCCCTGCTACTCACATACCTAATATAAACATAAGTATTCTTCCGTGCAAATTTTTTGTTTGATGCAGTGCCTCATACTGATTTGTGCACATCAGGGATGATGATTCTGCATTACCATATCTCATACTAACGATCAAAGAGCAGTGTTGAGGAAGATAACAAGACTTGGGACTGTAACAGACAAGCGCAGTTACATGACCGCACTTGTCTGTCCTTTTCTCTCCTTTCGTGTTTCCGTAGGTTTTTTGGACAGTTACATTACGGTTTATTAAACATGTTTAGTGCCACACCAGCAGACGGCCACAAAATTTTTGAAACTTGTTAAGTAAGAGCAAACAGGGACTTGTCACAATCTTAAAGGCCTTTCTCTCTCCCTACATACTCACAAGCATGCTGAAAGCCAAGCTAGCAGGGGGTGACAGGGGTAATAAAAAAAAGAGTCCCTTCATCAGCCCACAGCGTGGCCTTGACCATTTTCTTTTCTTTTGAAATGCATAGCTTAATTTCATTGTGATCGCACATGCACAAGTACATAGTGGCAGTTCACAGTGGCCATGGTAAACATGCAGCTAACGACTCTCAAGTCACCTAATGGCCATAGACTTGGGCTTTATGGCGCAGTCATTTAGGTTTGTGACATTATTTCTCGATAGAAGAGGGAACAATTTCTAGCCGACTCAAAAAATTAATTGAAAATTTCAGGCCATGTGGTGTGCCATAATGTTTGGCTCTCATGTACTCAGGAGAATAGACTAGTGATTGACATCATTTTCTGACCATGCTGAAAAAAGTGTTGCAGGGCCCTTGTAAACACCGTGTAATTACAAAGCAGAGCACACAAGCACGTATACAATCCCAAATGTGGGCACATATATGTAGCGCCTCAGCATGCATCTTTCTTGTGTTACATACCTCGGGCGGACGATACCAGAGCGTCACCACAACTGGTGTCAGTGACATTTCCCGCTCGTAGAGACGAGCCAATCCAAAGTCGGCAAGCTTGAGCTGCCGCTGAGCAGTGACCAGGACATTCTGAGGTTTCAGGTCACGATGAACAATGCGATGTGAGTGCAAGAACTCCACTCCCGTCAGCAGCTGCTTGAGGAGCGAGGCAATGAGATCAGGCTCAAGGCCCGGCTCAGGGCAACGCTCCAAGAATCCCGCCAAGTCCTGGTCAATGTGTTCGAACACGAGAAAGAGGACCAGCTCTCGCTCTAGCCGGTTGCCGTGACAGATGTCCAGCAGACGCACCACATTTGGGTGCTGTGCAGCGTCCAGCTGACGGAGGAGACCGATTTCACGCAGTGTACCGGTCGGGATGCCTTCCTCGTTGAGCGACACACGAACTTTCTTCAGGGCAACAAAACGTCCTTCATTCTGGCGGTCTCGCGCCTTGTACACAGTGCCAAATGCACCTGTACCAATTTGGGCAATTTCCTCGTAAGCACTGCCATTGGTGAAAACATCCCCAGCCATATTTGTCAGGGAAGTGTCAGCACCAGGCCTTGTCATTGGTGGGAATGGTAAGGGCATGAGCTCTCCCAGGTGGCACAGGAAATCTGCAAAAATACATGTTGCTGCTTTGTCAAAAAAAAAGAAGAAAAGAAAAGGCGTGTCAATAAGAGCCTATCTGGCACTATGGGGGACCAAAGTAGCCAAGCAATGGGCTCCACAGCAAAGGCAAATTTCTGCACTGTTAATCTATGACAACATCTCATTGTGTAGATTGGCCGAAAAAGCTATTACAGGCTTAAAATCATATTTAGGGGCTAATGTTTTAAAAATAGCATGGCCAGCATTCTATTTGGAATGTAGGGGTATATGATCGAGTTGTCTATATCTATGCAAATTCGTTTTGCAAGTACGCATGCCCACATGTACATACCAACCGCAAATTAGGGAAAGCAGGGCAGGTTGTATCTCCCTAACTCTGGCTGCACCTACAGTCTTCAGGCTGGTCTTCAGGCTGAAGAATTCAACTACATCCCAAGTTGTGAAAAGTGCAAGTTACATTACCTCGCTTTAAAAGAAACCAAGCACTAGAGGGAGGAATACCAGACTGGCAACTAATGTTATAACAAAATGTCCATAAATCTTGACTATATGCAGAACAGCCGACACAACACTTTGAAATTAGCAGCATGTTTATCTAAAGAAATTATACTACTAATAAATGTTTCATGTCACTTAAACCAAATCACATGACCACAAATAATAGCTACTTGTCACTTTTACTGGCACACAACACTAATTTCTTAGCAAAAACACCATGGTTGGTTAGGTGTGGTTAACAGTCTACATGAAAAGTGAAATGATGTTTCAAACCAAGCTAGAGCCTCAACAACTTAATTTATTTTCCTGCAGTATTTTCTTGCAGCAACTACATTTAAGATATTTTAAGAAGTCTTAATTACACATGTAGCAACATAGCTTTTTTTCCATCACGCTAGTAACAATGTGACATGGTCCTTGCACATTTCCCAAGCTTACTAGCTCAGTGATATTAAGTTACATTTTCAATATATGGCAGTATATATGTATTCTACAAATTCTTTGCCTTCCTAAGCCCTATTTGTAAACATGAATGCTACCTTTGTAGGATGATAACTGGGCTAGCTGACATTTCATTGTAAAAAAACTATAGAACTATGATAATAAAGCACAAAGAAGAACATAAGATGTTTACTGCGCAGAAGAAAATATTATATAGAGACATGTGTGACATGCCATATGGCCAGAAAGCATGACAAGAAATACAAGCATGTTTTTCACTGTTTGGGTAAAGGCGGTCTTAATTAAAACAATATGCAAAATAACAGGAAGATAGATGTTTGAAGAGTTGAGAAGCGATCAACATTGTTTGTTCAACTTCTCATCAATCACTTCAAGGTTTATGACAAATTCTCATGTGGACATGGACGATTTTGTCCAGTTCTTGCGACGTGTGTAGCGTGTTCGATTCCATTTTTTTTTCAAGGAAGAAATGCAACATCACGAGGGCATTGCTTCAATGCTTCACGTAGACAGCCCTCCCACTTATTCTATAAAGATTGCTCCCCTGTTCAGCATGCTTAGCTTCCTCTGCTTGGTTCACGGCAGGTTTCAACTGTGCACTTCTTCAAGAACCAATTTCCTCCAAATGTGATCGCGATACTTCAGTCATTTATATTACACTGCGTACATTGATTGCCTTCTTTGCAAGATGTGTTTGGCAGCTGCCTGTAGCCACAACACTTATTGTCTTTTCTACATGAGAATGACCAAATGTGGCAGTTACAAGAAACTCTAAACTACCATCACATCATCATGCACCGGACCGACTCTTCTGACTTCAATTTGATTGAGCACTGTTCCCTCCTATTCCTTTCTTCAGATTTACTTTTTTTTCTCATGTGCTGCAAAACAATTGATGTGAGTGGGTACTTGCATGTGTCTTTGTTCATCACCGTGTGCTGCGATGGCAGGACTCTGGTGCCTCATAAACAGTTATAGCAAAATAAAAAATCTGAATAAGGCAAGTCGTACCAATGTCACAGTGGTAGTTTTGCTGGAGCATAATCACTCATGTAAGTCACTGAACCACTGAACAAAAGCAATATTTTATTAACAAAGACTGCCAATAGCACAGGCTGCAAAATAAAATTATGACTGTGGATGTCAGCCGAGTACCTTGTATTAGGTAGGAGTTTGAAAAAGAGTACAGAGCTGCCGTTCTGCAAATAAATGGGCATTTTAGACATTTCGCTATATGTTCAAAATCATTATTTCCTTCCACACTTCTTAAATGTTTTTTATCAAGAGTTCATCTTAGAACAAAAAAGCCCCATTAACAGAGCGAATACTACGGTGACCGCAAAGGTCCCACCACAACCCATTCTCGCTTGTTTTAAGCTCATCTATTAGCATTTCGATACGTCAATTATCAAGCGTTTTTCATTTATATCACTATCAAGTTTTTAAGTGACGTTCGAGATTAGGCTACATCCGAGCCAGGAAAAGCAGTGACGTAGTTTTAAAAAACTTTGTTTGGTTGTTGCTGTGAATAGCAACGTTCAAACCCAGTCAAGAGCCCCAGAAATAGAAACCAACAAATACTCTCCTATGCATACATAATAACAATGTCGCCTTTTCCTGCTACCACTACGTCGTTAATAAAAAAAGCCAGCTTCAAATAGTTACTTACACAGCAGCTAAAGAAGAAAAAGACGAAGCACGTACTGACATCAAAGCGGGCGCCCTGGTGCCACGGCATCATGCTTACCGTCGGCTGCCGGCTGCTCGGCGCCGCGCCATTTCTACAACCGAAATTCACCTAAAATGCGGACCCCCGAAAGGTAAGGCTGCACTGCACACCATTTCTAAACTCGATGCTTCACCAACCTCGGCAGTAAACTGACATTACGCTTGACGTTACTTACCGGCAGACCTGGCAGAGTAGCTAATAATGTGTGTTCACGACACAATGGGCTTGGGCAATTGGACGCACCAAATCGCGGTCAAACGCTGCTGAGTGTGAATGAGTTCACAGATGAAATCAACGTAAACACTTAGTTTGGTTCATCAGATGATAGATGTTCGTACAACTACCGCATTGTTCTTGGGAGATCAGATTAAACCGCGTAAACCGGCGCACGTCGCGATGCGATGGCGATAAGTACGCTCTTGTTGAGCTGGGTTCGCTGCAAGGTCGGTCAACCGAGCGGCGTAATGCAGAGTAACGGTTTTGCCTTGCCTTTTTCTGATGCTCCACAACGCATCAACAATGAATCAGGAGCTAGGGTATGCGATAACTTAGCTATGGGGTCCATGCGCGCCCAAGACAGCTCACAGGCCTGCACACGACCGTTTCTTGAACTCGTCTATGAAAACTGATTGATGGCCCACGACGAGAGACGCAAATACCGCATTAACCGCCTCATAAACAGTTTTGGCAAAATGAAAAATCTGAATACAGCAAGTCGTACCAATGTCATAGTGGTAGTTTTGCTGGAGCAGAATCACTCATATAAGTCACTGAACCACTGAACAAAAGCAATATTTTATTAGCAATGACTGCCAATATAAATAATATAGACTGCCAATATAAATGCTGCAAAATAAAATGATGACTGTGGATGTCAGCCAAGTACCTTGTATTAGGTAAGAGTTTGAAAAAAGAGTACAGAGCTGCCGTTCTGCAAATAAATGGGCATTTTAGACATTTCGTTATATGTTCGAAATCATTGTTTCCTTCCACACTTCTTAAATGTGTTTATTAAGAGTTTATCTTAGAACAAAAAAGCCCCATTAACAGAGCGAATACTACGGTGACCGCAAAGTTCACACCGCAACACATTCTCGCTTGTTTTAAGCTCATCTATTAGCATTTCGGTACGTCAATTATCAAGCGTTTTTCATTTAAATCACTATCAAGTTTTTAAGTGACGTTCGAGATTAGGCTACATCCGAGTCTGGAAAAGCAGTGACGTACTTTTAAAAACTTTGTTTGGTTGTTGCTGTGAGTAGCAACGTTCAAACCCAGTCAAGAGCCCCAGAAATAGAAACCAACATATACTCTCCGATGCATACATCATAACAATGTCGCCTTTTCCCGCTACCACTACGTCGTTAAAAAAAAAAAAAGCCAGCTTCGAATAGTTACTTACACAGCAGCTAAAGAAGAAAAAGACGAAGCACGTACTGACATCAAAGCCGGCGCCCTGGTGCCACGGCATCATGCTTACCGTCGGCTGCCGGCTGCTCGGCGCCGCGCCATTTCTACAACCGAAATTCACCTAAAATGCGGACCCCCGAAAGGTAAGGCTGCACTGCACACCATTTCTAAACTCGATGCTTCACCAACCTCGGCAGTAAACTGACATTACGCTGACGTTACTTACCGGCAGACTGGCAAGTGCCGAATGATTTGTGTTCACGACACAATGCTTTGCAATTGGACGCACCAAATAGCGGCAAACGCTGCGAGTGTGAATGAGTTCACAGATGAAATCAACGTAAACACGTAGTTGTGTTAATCAGATGATAGATGTTCGTACAACTACCGCATTGTTCTTGGAGATCAGATTTAACGCGTAAACCGGCACAACGTCGCGATGCCGATGGCGATAAGTACGCTCTTGTTGAGCTGGGTTCGCTGTAAGGTCTGTCAACCGAGCGGCGTAATGCAGAGTAACGGTTTTGCCTTGCCTTTTTCGATGCTCCACACGCATCAACAATGAGATCAGGAGCTAGGGGAGCGATAACTTAGCTATTCCATGCGCGCCCAAGACAGCTCCCAGGCCATGCCCACTAACGTTTCTTGAACTCGTTCTAGAAACGTTGATGCCCACTACGAGAGACGCAAATACCGCATTAACCGGACTTAACTGCAGCATTATTGCATTAATTAGAAAAAAGGGGCTCATAGGGCGCCGGCACATATATTTGAGCTTCAGTGCTTTTGCCGCAGTGCTGCAATTGACTTGGTTAGGGGAAACGAGCCTCTCCTTGAAGAATGGAAAGGGGGCCGTGCCCCCATGGCCTCCTCAACTTAATATGCCGATCCAGAGTCGTTTCGAACAAAAAACACAACCCAGTTATATGCTAGCAAATATCTGTCAACAGTTCATATCTCTTGATCACTAGGTGTCCCAATTCATTTTAAACTCGTATGAGCTGCAGCTTTCGATAAACAACGTTCACTTACGCTAGAACTACGTATTCAGCGTTTCCTTGTGGCACAATATTCATGTTCTATTGCTGTAACTCGAAAGTCTGACTGGGTAGTAAGGCAATGTTTATTTGATGCTGCACTTTATACTCGTATGAGCTGCAGCTTTCGATAAACAACGTTCACTTGCGCTAGAACTACGTATTCAGCGTTTCCTTGTGGCACAATATTCATGTTCTGTTGTTGTAACTCGAAAGTCTGACTGGGTAGTAAGGCAATGTTTATTTGATGCTGCACCTTTATACTCGTATGAGCTGCAGCTTTCGATAAACAACGTTCACTTGCGCTAGAACTACGTATTCAGCGTTTTCTTGTGGCACAATATTCACTGTTCTGTTGCTGTAACTCGAAAGTCTGACTGGGTAGTAAGGCAATGTTTATTTGATGCTGCACTTCATACTCGTATGAGCTGCAGCTTTCGATAAACAACGTTCACTTGCGCTAGAACTACGTATTCAGCGTTCCCTTGTGGCACAATATTCATGTTCTGTTGCTGTAACTCGAAAGTCTGACTGGGTAGTAAGGCGATGTTTATTTGACGCTGCACTTTATATATCATTCGCATGAAGTGCAGCTATCGTGAAGTCTAGCTAAAGTGAACAGTTGATCTTAAGAGCAATTGACACCGTAGTAATAACCTTCATTACCCTTGTAGGGGTGCACTGCTTCATGTCGGTAAACAACGACACAGTCGCTGTGACTGCCTTCATCGTGGCAACAGTATTAATTGTCCTCAGAAGATCCCTCCGCAAGATGGTGATCCTGTGCATTATCTTCCCAAGCATGCCGATGTTGACCCTGGTTGCCATCAACAGCCTTCGTCCCGGGGCTGAGCTGCTGCTGAGCTTGGTGACGATTTCAGTCATCAGCTTCTTGCGACGCAAGTTTTTCTACAACTAGAAGGAAGCCACGTAAAAATGCAGACGTTTATTTACTATTTACAAGACATGCAGTACGAAGAAAAAAAATACTGCACAAACAACACATATTGTCAAAATTAACAGAAATGAACACTTATGCTACTTAAAAGATCTCAACGCGATTCATTGTCCTTTTTGTACAGGTCACACAAACAAAAACAACTTGAACATGAACTTTTGTACAGTGTAATGGCATCATTGGAGGACATCTGCCAAAAAAGAGAGAGTTTTGATAAAGGGACCTGGCTGAACTGCCCAAATGAAGGAAGGCCAGGCAACTAGATGACGGGTTACTTCAAAGGCGAGCATAAAACACCAGACAGCAACTCAGTTAACTGAGGAACACAGAGGACTGGTGTGTTTGTCGGGTCGAACGGCACTAGTACAGGTTGTGCCAGGGAACGCCTGCATCTACCTCGCAGCTAACACCAGTGGCTGTAAAGTTCCTGCTCACTCGGTGGCATGCCACAAGTTAATAGGAGCAAGACCTTCACTTCACAAGTAAATATACAAATTTACAAGACATAGCAATAATTAAAATGAAAGATCGTCTCCTCTGGGAAAGTTGCTTTGTTTTGTGTAGCATTAGCCGTGTGTGATGAATTTTTGTGCCTTCGACTGCTGGCACGCATGAACCGAAACACGTGACCAATATGACAGCAGCTGCCAAGACATTAACACTGACTCTGTACTGAACACAACAGTGAAAAAATGGGCAAGGGAAGAAGCCGAGGTATGCTGAGGTGCACGAGGCAAACACTCGTACGGAGCTGCGCTCGTCCTTTGCCACATGACGATCTGTTCCTTTGTTTTGACAGAGGGAGACGATATTGCGAGTAAAAGACACGTAAAACCGTCTCTACCAAGTGTAGAGATCAAATGCAGATACCCCGACCTGGGAAGGGTTGGGTTGGAAGAGAAAACATGTGGCTAATCTCTGAGTAGCAATGAAGTATAAAACAATAAAATTATATTATCAATGACTTTCCCTGCAGTCTGTTCGGCTACAAAGCCTGCCCTAATTTCACGGGGGTGGGCAGGGCCTGTCCCAAGTCAGAACAATTGACAATGCTTCCTTGATGCGCAACATCATGAAAATGTATCCTGTACAGACAGCGCTGAGGTTATTCGTGCTGGTGGCTCCTAGCTATTGCTCGACTGGTGAGAGGTTGACAGAGTGGAGCCTCGATGCGATGAGTTCTCGGCGGAGGGAACTCCTTCAGGGTGCCCCATCGCTGGCCGGCCAGGGAAGCCATGCTGTGATGTTGCACTCAACTCGTTCCCCTGCACATGCAACAAGTTGCACTGGTTTAACGAAATGAGCCATTGAAAGGGTTGCAAGAAAATCGCGACAGGACATAAAATCACAATTGTAACTTGCATTGGAGTCGCAAGGCTAAAGATGCAGTGGAGCTCATAGGCGGCCTTGCGCAGGTGGTGTCAAGTAGGACCATACTGAGGATTTATTATTTTTTGGTGGAAGAGAGGGGGATGCTTTTCTACAGAACAGCTAACCTTAGCAAAAGGCAGTTGATGACAAGCATGAAAAAATTTCTGGGGTGTTAAAACCCCCTCAACTCCCCCCTAGTCACTTAGTGCTGCTTGATTGATTTGTGGGGTTTAACGTCCCAAAACCACCATTTGATTATGAGAGACGCCGTAGTGGAGGGCTCCGGAAATTTCGACCACCTGGGGTTCCTTAACGTGCACCCAAATCTGAGTACACGGGCCTACAACATTTCCGCCTCCATCGAAAATGCAGCCGCCACAGCCGGGATTTGAACCCGCGACCTGCGGGTCAGCAGCCGAGTACCTTAGCCACTAGACCACCGTGGCGGGGCCACTTAGTGCTCCTGTCAAGCCTAATAGAATTATAAAGCCGAGTAGCCATTTTTTTCTCTTTATTTTTCTCTTTTTCACACTGCTTATTCGTCCTTTTTGTCTCTGTTTTTATTTCCAGCTATGCATTTCTTTTTGTCTCAATCTTTTCCTTCCTGTTTCTTCGTTTCTTTCCCTCTTTCTGCATTTCTTTCTCTCCATTTTATCTTTCTATATATGCTGTTTTATTATTCAAGTGTACATCAATTTTGCCTTCATCTGTGTATATTTTTCTGTATCCCATTTCAATGTACACTCTAATGATAATGCTTTACTCTCTCCTTTTTCCTCCTCACATCTCACCCTCGCTTCCCTTACTTCCCCCTTGTTATACTGTACAAGGGTTCTGTCAGCATACCTGGAGAGCTGAGCCTTTGGATTCCGCCACCTCACAAGAAACTTCGCCAAGGTTTTCTTTTTCTTTCCATCTCTTTCGCTTTCTCTCAGCCCTTGACTAAAGGCCAGAAAACTTTGCGCATGTGCTTTGGAAGCCAAGTAGAAAAGGAAGAAGAGGACAAAAAAAAAGTACACATATCTAACATATAATACTTGGCCTAATAGTACTCTGCATTGCTTCTGAAGGTAATTGAACAAGGCTTCGATGAGGGATAGTTGGCATGCATCATTATTTTGTTGGATTACAGTGTTACAACAGAACAAAAAAAAACGCCAGGCCTGTGCAGAATTCGCAATACAATCACGGCAAAAGCTGGAAGAGCGGCCTTTCAGAGCCTTTTTTAAATATTCTTTTGGTAACTACTGCAAGCAAACTAGCAAAGTACACACTATGCCGTTAATCATCATAATTTTTGTGTAGGAGGAAGGCATTCACTATGAAATCCTTCACCATTTTTCAGAGAAGTGTGGTTCCCGCTACACACTAGCAAAGAATTATGTACTTTTTTTTTATGCCTTGGCTGACAATTTTTCAGAGAAGTGTGGTTCCCACTACACACTAGCAAAGAATTATGTACTTTTTTTTATGCCTTGGCTGACAATGAAGAATTATACCTCAAGCTTTTGCGTTGGGTTGGAGCATTCGACGGCTCACTCGGTATGCGATTTGCATTGTGAAACACCTAGATGCTCTTTTGCTGTTCTAAACACTTTATTACTCATATTAACATAATTCCTTTCCAGACATAAAGGCTGCATAAGGCAAGTCTGCAACAGAGTTTCAAGCACCGGCATGGCTCGGTGGTAAAATACTGGGCTGGCACGCAGGTGCGTTTTTATCGCAGCTTTTTTTTTTTTTCCCGCATCCCACACCACACATTGTATGGTGTAACACTGTGGTGAAATAAACTTCAAACTTCAAACTTCGGTTTGAATCCCATTGTGTCAATGTTTTTCGGGGTGAAGCTCCTTAAGGCGTCACCCGATCGTCCTCTGTAGTAACCACCTCTCCTTAGTTCTTAAACCGGCCATATAGGGTGCTACTACATATAGGGTGCTACTAAAGATGCAAATGGTCTGGCACTAGAGGGCGTTACTTGTAGAAAAGATTAATAAAAGGCAAGTTTTATGAAAATGGGATTTGCGTCACATGTATGGAAGGAGAGAGAGAAGGGAGATGATTGTGCAACAGCGATCGCGTGTTTTAGGGGCGAAGCTCCTTATAGTGTAACCCGAGCGTCCCAGTCGTAATCGCGGGTGGTACATACCCGCCCCTCGTTATTCTTGCACCGGCCATAGAGGGCGGTACTAGTACTATACGCTGAAAAATGCAAATGGTACGACACTAGAGGGTGTTACTTGTAGAAAAGAAGAATTGACGTCACACATACGGAAGGACAGAGAGACGATCGTGTGTTCTTCGGCGACGCTGTACGCCAGGGGGCACTCTACAGTGCAATAAAAATGCCGTTCAGAGGCTCGACGATGGAGTATGAACAAGGCTGCTGAGCGGCGTGCGCGCAGTGCGACGACGGCACCGTGAGGACACTGCAGTATGACAATGGGAGGCCAAAGGGGTGCGCGGACCCAGCTTCGCCCCACTCTCCATCATTCGCCCCGTGGATACTGTCATTTTTTTTTATTTAATTAGATTTTTCTCTTATTTTGTGTGATACTGGCTGCAGCGGTGGCGGAAAACTACGGCGCACGTGACCCTTGTCGTGATCTCGTAACAGCTTTCGCTGAAAAACGATCCACCGCCCACTGAGCGGTTTCGAATCTGTGTTTAGCTATACCAAAGTGTTACGTTGATACAAGTCCAAGAGGTTCGAAAATTACCAGCCAAGCCACATTAGCTCTTGTTCTGTTGCACTGGGGAAATCCAGCTGAATGTTTCATAGACGAGCATCACATTAACCAACATGTGCCACTTTGAATCTTGGGTTTCTGCAGGTAACTTTCATTTCTTCTTGTCATTTTTATCACCATCCTCCCGATTGCGCATGTAGGGTGACCGCAAAGCGAAAAGGCAGCCACAACTTTATAACAAATGAACAAAACATAGAACACTTTATTTTGTTTCCAAGGTAACTTCATTCTGTAAAAGAACTGTTACTTTAGTTCCAAAAGATCCACTTTCTACTTTTATACAGAGTTGAAGACCTTTCAGGAAAACTTTCAAAATAGCTGCGACTATTTAGGAGGGAGTTTGCGCGTGCCTTGCCTTTTCTGAAGTAAGTTTGAGCAATTTGGTGGATTTCCACTTCACTTTCTTTCGTTGGTGCAGCCTGTTTCCATAAACTGATAATGCGATTAACTTGAAACAGGCTGCGATTTGGTCATATTTGCCATCTCTGTAATCACCGTACCCTACCTGCAGTGGGCAACGGCTGTGTGGCGCAACTATTCAGAGACAACTTCTTGATAAATAAAGATGGGACACCAAGAACAGCAGAAACACCAGTTCTGCTGGCACCAGTTCTATACAACAAAAACAAACGAACACAATTTTAACGCCTTTACAAAAAGATGAACAATATACTAAAAAAATAAAAATCAAATGAATCCCAGTATGTCTTGGTCGCTCCGTATATGTATCCGACGTACATTGCGATCAATAAACAGTTTGCGCACATGTGTGTCCGGTCTTTCTTTTTCTTTTTGTCCTCGCACAGCACAACAAAAGAATGAAAATAATTATGTTAACTTGTAAATAAAAATAATTTCATCAAGGTAGCATTTGTTTGAATAGCTGCAAGCAAAAAACAAAGCAAGTAGAACAGTGCATCTCGCAAGTTCTTCTTGCTACAGGAGCACAAAATGGGGTGAGAGAGTAGTGATGTGCTGTATGGCCCACCCTTAATGGGAACAGCGAGTTGGCACTCGGATGATCCATAGCTTGAATTCATCAACATAACTTCATGCACTTGGCACACTTTTACAGAAAGGTTTTTGTGTCTAAACCAAGCTCTAATCTTTTCCAATGTACCTAGTACAGTCAAATCTCGTTACTACGAACACCGAATTAACGACTTTTTCCGATTTACGAATATTTCGAGAATCCCCGCCAGATTGCCTATATATTTTCAATGTAAAAATATTTCAGAACAACGAATTTCAGTACAATGTATATTTCAGAATAACGTGCATAATTTATTTGCCCGCCTATACGCAAGGAACATCAGTATTATGAATTTAGTTAAAAGTAGCAGCACCGCAACTCTCACGTAGCACAGTAGCCGCTGTTTTTTTCCATGCACGGAAGCTATCATCATCACCGTGTTGAGAGCCAACTGCTAGCGCCACCACACAGTTATGGTTTGATGTGTGGCAGCTTAGCAGGCCTAGCCTCGTTGCCTCGTCCTTCGTCGTGCGTCCTTCGTGCCACGCACGTGTGAAGTCTGCTGCGTTTTGTTGTCGTTCTTTTTTTCTTAGCTTTCTGCAAAGTGTTTGGAGACCCGACGATGAATGCACCAGGTGACAGCGCTAAGAAGAGGCGAAAGCAGTTTTCCCTGCAAGAAAAGGTGGATTTGTTGAGGGAACTTGACTCGGGCAAAAAGCAAATCTACCTCTGCAGGGAGCGTGGCATTGCCCGTCGACTGTCGCGACCATTTGGAAAGACAGAGAAAAGATTCTGAAGCTTCACCGAGAGTCACAACTTGCACCTACGAGGAAACGGTTGCGCCTGGGAAATTTTCAAGATGTCGACCAAGCTGTGCTGACCTGGTTTAAAGATGCCCGGCTGCAAAACATCCCAATGTCTGGCCCAATGCTTCAAGAAAAAGCCCGCGAGTTCGCCGACGCACTTGAAGTAACTGGGTTTGATGCAAGTGCGGGTTGGCTTTTTCGTTTTCGCCAGAGAAACGGCATAACCTGGCAGGTAGTCTCAGGTGAAGAAAAGGCTGCGGACAAAGAGGGTGCAGATTCCTGGCGAAACGATCGTTTCCGAGAGGTGGCAGAGTCGTACTCCGAAGACGACATTTTCAACGCGGACGAGACCGCGTGCTTCT